AAACCGGAAGTGACGTCATGCGAAAACCCTCCCCAATATCAGCCTGGAAACACAAGAACGTCGATACTATCTATATACATAATGTTATGGAGAGATAGATAAAGAAGGGAGATAAATATAGAAGAGATATAGGAGACAAAAAATAGAGAAAAGAATACAATTATTATAAATCTGGATATAAACCACAACTTGTGTTAAATACTTTCAATAGAATACGGCTCTATAATTTCTTCCTACAGTCAACTACCGTTATACTGTAGTCTATTGATTAAAACTTTTCAACGCACGTTTCTCAAATTCACGAAACAAACTAGGCTACGAAATACTTCCATCAACTAGGTTACTATAATACGCTGTAGAGTTCGTATAATGTTGTCTAGAGAAGTCCACTACAACGCATTTTCACAGGATATAATTTTTATTACTTTTAACCGGATAGGCTAACATTTTTTTTTTCATTGATATTTTCAGCATAATTTATATCAATAAAACATATAAATAAATATTAGCAATATAAGAAGAAAAATATGATAAAATTTGGTTTGGAATCTTTAATTCCAACTAAATGATGCCAGATTTAGTTTATGTCCAGGAATCTTGTCCACAATTATCCATGATATATACAAATATATAAATAGTATAGATTGTTGTACAGTTTATAGGCCTATAATATACCAAACTAATTACAAGGCTAATTAAGTGAGATTTAACCCAACAAACTAATTCAACTCAGTACATTCGGTGAATAAACATCATTCGTGCTCACTTACTCACTTTAGAACCAAGCAGGTCTACACTATATACCCAGACCCCTTATAATATAGTTAGAACCCTTATATCATAGTTAGAACCCTAATATTAGTTAAAACCTTATATTATAGCTAGACCTAATATTATAAAATTTTATATTAGCTGTGACACTTATATTATAGCCAGAACCCCTTATATTTGCATATTATAGCTTGACCCTATATAGAAGTTAAAACCCTTATATTATAAAGTTAAAACCCTTATATTATAGCTAGGACCCTTATATTATAGTTAAAACCCTTATATTATAGCTACTGTAGGACCCTTATATTATAGCTAAAACCCTTATATTATAGTTAGAACCCTTATATTATAGTTAGAACCCTCATATTATAGTTAGAACCCTTATATTATAGTTAGATCCCTTATATTATAGTTAAAACCCTTATATTATAGTTAAAACCCTTATAGTATAGTTAGAACCCTTATATAATAGTTAAAACCCTTATATTATAGTTAGATCCCTTATATTATAGTTAAAACCCTTATATTATAGTTAGAACCCTTATATTATAGTTAGAACCCTTATATTATAATTAGATCCCTTATATTATAGTTAAAACCCTTATATTATAGTTAGAACCCTTATATTATATTTAAAACCCTCATATTATAGCTAGGGCCCTTATATTATAGTTAAAACCCTTATAGTATAGTTAGAACCCTTATATTATAGTTAAAACCCTTATAGTATAGTTAGAACCCTTATATTATAGTTAAAACCCTTATATTATAGTTAGAACCCTTATATTATAGTTAGAACCCTTATATTATAGTTAGATCCCTTGTATTATAGTTAAAACCCTTATATTATAGCTAAAACCCTTATATTATAGTTAAAACCCTTATATTATAATTAGATCCCTTATATTATAGTTAAAACCCTTATATTAGTTAAAACCCTTATATTATAGCTAGGACCCTTATATTATAGTTAAAACCCTTATATTATAGCTAAAACCCTTATATTATAGTTAAAACCCTTATATTATAATTAGATCCCTTATATTATAGTTAAAACCCTTATATTAGTTAAAACCCTTATATTATAGCTAGAACCCTTACATTATACACCTAGAACCCATATTTTACCGATACATAACAAGAACCTTCATAGCTATAGTTAGAACCCTTATGCAGTAGCTATCACCCTTAAATATATTATATAGCTTGAACCTTTACAATATATAGCTAAAACCTTTATAGTAGCTAAATTCATATACCTAGAACCCCTATATTTAAAAAGAACCCTTTGAATATAAACTAGAACACTTATATAATTAGGGCCCCATTATACATGTATTAGGTTTATAGCGTAATAATTAGAATGTGTATTATTATATAACCAGAACTTTTGTGTTATATAATTAAGGACATTTAGTATATTATAATCCCTTGATATACAGTATTTGATAACAATAAAACCCCTTTGATATATAATTAATCATCCTGAACCCTTTTAAAAGAACCTAAATTATCGTATAAAACAAAAGGAATCCGTGTTATTGGAACTTAATATCACTTATGCACTAATAATGTAAAACTTGAAATGTATAATGAAGTGAACCCAGAAATATGAAAAAAATGTAGCTTGAATCCATATTGAGATAACTATAACGTCTTCATAATGTATAATGTACAATATAGGCTTTGGGATGTGTGATGAATAATCTGTAATTATAATAAGGATGAATGATTGTGTCTAACCTGACCCCACGTGACTGATGTTGATTCAAATTTACATGAAGATAAATTACTGAGAATATTAAGATGAAATACTTTGGAAAATATTATTATAAGTATTTTTAAATGTGAATTGTCAACAGATAATAATAATAATAATAATAATAATAATAATAATAATAATAATAATAATAACAATAATAATAATAATAATAATAATAATAATAATAATAATAATAATAATAATAATAATACTCGCTTTGGTTCAACATCAAGATAAAAACTATAACTAATAATTAATTTGGGTTCAACTAAAGGTCACACGGTATAATCATAGTTAAATTCTTTAAGGTAAATCCACATGAATCCATCTTCGAAAAAAAATGGGAATTCTTTTCATTTTACTTTCTTTTAACTTTCTAATCTCATAGAGCTAATACATTAGACACATTCAGACCTTTTCCAGACGACTGTACTTTCAAAGGGCTGAGCTATGTAATTTACTGTAACGTGTTGTAACTTGGTGAGTTAATAGCAGTAATTCTTTTTCTGTACTTGTCAGGTCTTTCAGTTTATATAGCGAAGAGTGTGTGTGTATGTGTGTGTGTGTGTGTGTGTGTGTGTGTGAGGTAAAAAGGGGATAATTACGTATATACATAGACATACACTCTTGTTAATAATCATAATACAAACTACAAATAAATAACACCATAACTAATCTATCCCAATTCATGTTTGGTTACGACGCAGTCATGATAAAACAACTATATTTACCATATATGAACTAATTACTATTAAGTTGGAGTAAGACAAACAAAAAGGGTAGTATATACTTGCAAAAAACGTCCCAGCTGAGTTTTCTTAATTAAATGATTACGTGTGTGTGTGTGTGTGTGTGTGTGTGTGTGTGTGTGTGTGCGTGTCTTGTATACAACAGTGCGTGTATATGTGCGTGTTTCTCGTGCATCTGTGTGCGTGTCTTGTAAACATTTTGTGTGTGTGTGTGTACGTGCGTGTCTTAATACATTTGTGTAAGTCTTGTGTACGTTTATCTTGTGTACGTTTGTTTGTAATTTACATATCAACATTAAAACAATAATTACAGGTAAAAACGGTATGCAACGAAATTCTGCAATGCATTGTTTTGTATGGCTGTGGTTATGAACTATCTGCCTAATCACCTTGTTTCAGTACATCATATACCAAAGTGGAAATGCTTACAGTACCCTTATGTGTTCATGTATAAAATGGATACTGAATCAAGTAATATAAAAAAGGAAACTAATTACGCATTTAACAAGTTACATATCATTTCATAAAATTATACCCTCCCCTACCCTAGTATATTAAACGTATATATTTCAATCTAATATAATCTCTATATTATATTGATGTTTAGTTGAATAACAGTTAATAATTCCTTTGTCATATAGTTGTAGTTAAAACACCATTATAAGACCATAAGCACCGTAAACAGATTCTAATTTCATGTAATTCACTAAACAAACCACGGTAGGTGAAAAACTGTACCCCCTTGTGTTCATTTTTATATTCATGGTGGTTTATATATTTGAGAAGGAATGAAGTAAGGATATATAAAGTCCGTGAGAGGATCAAAGAGTAAGAGTTTGATGAAAGATTAATATACTTACGGTGTAGAGCATCATGTTAGCAAGCGAGGTGAACGAGAGGTGAAGTGGCGGCCCCATGTGGACAAGTATCAACCTCCTGCACACACACCACTACTATTACCCCCTTTAACACCATGGCCTCAACACCACTAGCATCACCAACACCGTCATCACATTACTCCTTCATCACAACGTTAAACACTCGCTGGTATGTAAATTCTTGAGCTCCAACTTCTCTGGAATGCCGAGCCTTTTAGACGGATTTGGCCTTCTTCATCTGTCACACACGCATCATCTTACCATCTATCTCTTCATTTCTAAACGACTTCACCGAGTTAAGAACACGCACACCTTTTCCGAATCACCAGCAATAATAGCAGAACACATTTTGAGGTTTTCTTTTTCACTAGTATTTGGAAGTGAGTAAAAAAAGTGAGAAAATGGTCACCTCAGTCGTCCCTATCCCCGAGCATCTTCCATTCAGTGTCGTCTGCTCTGGTGGGTGGCACGCAAACGCACTCGCCGCCCGTAAATCAGCTCCCTATTGTAAAATTTTCATCTCGGTATGTAGAGCAACTAACTCCTACTCTAGCTACAACTACTTCCTACTTTAGGTTTAATTTTCACTCGCTAAAATCTATGGAAATATAATTAGCATCCATAATCAATCAGTACATCACCTAATGATTTATGTCTCCATTCCACATATTCAGTAAGGGATTGATAACTGAACAGAAATTATATTGAGGGAGTAAAAAAAGTTAGAATGAAAGAGGCGATGGTATTGATATTATAATGATTTTCCTTTTTATAATGATGTTAGCTGTTATCTGTACTGGTGTTCGGTGTGTTGGGCCCCGGCTTGGACACACCTGAGCAACACCTTCAGACACAGGGAGTAAACAGTCATCAGCTGACCCAGGAAGGGGAGGCGTTGCTCAAGACAATGTACAGTAATTACCTATTTTCCTCGTCCTTGTTCGTGAGTTACTGTGAGAGAGGAGTCGTGGGATGTGTCTAATTTGATAGTGTGTACATAAACCTTGAGAGGATCGCCATGAGTGATAGAGATTACTCGCCACTCAGCTCGGCTTGTGTCCGGGCTCTGAGTGACAAGCTGTATGACAAGAGGAAGGCGGCCGCCCTCGAGATAGAAAAGTAAGGCTTAAATTAACAATGCGTCTTAATACACTCTTGACATTGGTGCTAAATAGAGGTAATGTTTTGTTTTTTTTTAGTTTTTAAGAATGTTTAATGTTAGGGTTCGCTATTTCTGGACTGAACCCCAACATGTAGATAGTGAGAGGGAGGAAGACTAGTGAACGATATCATTATGAGTGGTGATGGTGGCTCACGTTTTGTTGGAACACTCTGTATGTTTTAAGATGTTATTGTCACAAAGGAGAGGAAATGATTATTGTTTGTTGATGTTTTTTGTGGATTGCCTATTGACTATAGCCATCTTAATAAGAGGTTTATTTTCAGCAGGATTTAGTTTAATATGATTTGAATGAAAATCTGGTGTTGGAACAATGAGAAATTACCTCAAGGAGTTGCTACAGTGCCTTGTCAGCTGTTGCCATCCTGTGGGTTGGTGTTAGGAAGGGCATCCAGCCATAAAACTTTGCTTCATCATGCCTGGTGGGAACTAGTCACCACAGCTTTACCCAACCCCTGGTCTCTGCTGAATATTTGGGACTGGTGAGCTGGTACTGTGGCTTTACCCAACTGTTGCCATCGGGTAATCGCAGCAAACCCACGCAAGTGTGGAAAATGGCTATCAAATATTGATGTTGATGTGGCGTGATGTAGGTCTTGGCCTGGAAAGCTTCTGCAATTTAAAAAAAAAAGTCACTAAGCTGTAGCACAAATGAACCACTGAGCAATGTCAAACATAGGTAACTATTTATGACTTCACAGCTGCTGATTTTTCATAGAATTTTTTTTTAAAAAGCTGCAATTTCACTGTGTTTTGTAGTGGACACTGTTGTAGTCATGGCAAATGTGTTAAAAAGTGTTTATTTAAAAGTTCAAGTTAAGTTAACCTAACCTAACCTTAAACCAACCTAAGCTAACTTTAAACAAACCTAACCTTAACATAACATAACCTAACCTTAACATAACATAACATAACCTAACCTAGCATAACTTAACACCTGCCGTGAGTGAACCTATTGTTACTGAGATGGGGGAAGCGGCTGTGAAGTCCTCCATAATAGCCCAAACTTAAGTACAGTACTGTATTCAGGATACAGGCTGTCTCAGAGTTAGGAACACCCGAGCCATCAAGACCCTCACTTACGAACATGATCCGTTAAATTTATCACTGTTGTTACGCTTGTCAGTGAACAATCCTAACTCTATGCAACTGAATGCTACCAGTGAGTTTTTCATATGATCTAGAGTATTAATAAAATGATACCCTGACCTGTTTAGACCATGCCTTGACCAACCTACCTAACCTAACCTAACCTAAAATAATGCACTTCCATCCTGGGGTAGATAGGACAGTGATAAGTGTCTCTTGGGACAATGAGACTCTTCGGGTATGAAACACTGACCTGGACAAAACCACCAGATTAATAATGTGAAAATTGCCTTTAAACCGTGTGATTTGTTGGTACAGTATATTATTAATGTAAGAGATAATTTATAATGTTTTTTACAAGAATGTTCAAACGTTGCTGCTGGCTTTCTGTGTTTATGAAATGGAAGTATTAATGTCTGTGAAGCGTTTGTCTTATTGAAATTGAAAGAATCATTTTCATAACTTCATTTTAACTTTTTTCCTTGCTCTTCCTCGTTGAATTTTTATTTTCTCAATTGAAGGAATATGTTGGCACAGATCCTGTTAAAAAATTCCAAATGGTAAAGTGGCGCCCAGTTTCAACAATACTGTACTGTAATTGTTTTTGTGGCCCCAATTGGTATAAAGGTGATACTACCATGTTTCCTGAAGTAACAGATCAACACACAGTAAAGTAGTGAAAGACAAATAGACTCTCAAGACAGTTGCCATCATAATAACTGAGATTTCTCTTCACCTGGGAATACATTTATTGTACAGTCGATAAAAAAAAACTATCTTTAGGGAGAGGTCTGAGGAATTCCAGAATGAACACTGTGACTCCTGTTGTCTCGGTAGGGTGTCAGAATACTTCGTTTGTTGTGTCATATTTTCTAACACAATTTTGTAAGGATAGTTTTTGATCGACTTTGCACATAATTAAAAATAATTATCTTTAGGGAGAGGTCTGATGAATTTCAAAATGAACACTGACTCGTCTTGTCTCGATAGGGTGTCAAAATCTTTCGTCCATTGTGTCATATTTTCTAGCACAAAATTTTCAAGATGTTCTCTTGATTTTATGTACAACCCAGTTATTATTTCATCCTTGTAGTCTATGTAACTCCTGCTATTTCAGGATGGTGAAGGACTTTTCTGCTGTCGATAACCAAGAGCAGATCAGTCGACTCATTCATGTTCTTGAAGAATTTGCCATGTCTCACAACCCACACACACGAAAAGGAGGACTCATTGGTTTGGCCGCTGTTGCCATTGGACTTGGCACAAGGGTAAATATTGATTGTCATTAAACTCAAGAATATTACTGAATAAATAGTTAATGCACTGTGGTTGAAATTATTAGAAATTAAAAGGAAATGTTAAGGAATCCCATAAATATTGTGGATCATGTGAACAATAGACACCCCAACTTGTTTCATCTTAATATGAACTACCCTAATTCTAACCTAACCTGACGCTAATCTAACGCTAATCCAACCTAACTTAATCCATACACTAATTTACTTTTGATATTTTGATTAATACATTATAGTCTTTTATTACACTGAAAGTTACCATATTATAAACAAATATAGAATTTCTAATCCTTCTATTATTCCAGGGTATTGGTCCGTACATTCAAGACCTCGTCAACCCTATCCTGGCCTGTTTTACTGATAGCAACCCAAATGTGCGCTACTATGCCACGGAGTCCCTCTACAATGTTGTCAGGGTGTCACGAGGAACCGTCTTATCTCAGTTCAATGACATTTTCATCATCCTGGTTCGTTTGGCGACGGATGCGGACCAGAACGTTAAAAATGGCTCCGAGATGCTCGACAGAATAATGAAAGTTCGTGACTATGGTGATATCCATTGTGTGTCATTTTGTAAAACATGTACAGTACAGTGGGTGCCAGAGTGATTCCTATTGTGCATCAACGATCATAAAGCTAACGTAACCTCCCTCCCTCCCCTCAGGTAGCTTTAGGGTGCTTAATTACTATCAGGTGTCAAAGTACGGTAATTAAAACAGGTATCTGTATATTATTTACCTGCATTAATTACAATATTTGTTTGGTATTTTATGTGTTATAGTTGTTATGATTGATTCAGGCAAGGATGGGTTTTATTTATATTATATTGCTAAGTTATTTAAGTCTGACTTGCAAACAAATCAACATCTAGACAGGGCCCAGGAATGTTAGTCTGGACCCCTGTACTGTACTGTATGTGTCACTACAGTAAGCCTCGGAGAATGATGAAGTCCAACGTTTAGGGTATAAGAATTTGATTAGTGTAGTAGAAATAAAGTACGTACATTTTTTCTCAGTGACAATGATTGATGTGTAAAATTTAATGTAAGATGGAGATGTTTATGGATATTTTTTAATATTTTATTATTTTCTTGAGTAACTTTATCAACCATTCACATAAAACTAGTTCATTTTAAACCAGAATATTGCAATGTGAAAATAACCCAGTAGAAATAATTTAAGTGTATGTCAAAGCTGATCCTTCTTATAATTTACTTGACCATAATACTCTATAGTTTTTGTGATTTAATTTGTTATTTATTTATGTATTTTCTCATTTATATATATTTTTTTTCAGGACATTGTAACAGAAAGTGCCTCATTTGACTTGGTTGCATTCATTCCTGTCCTGCGTGAGAAACTTTACGTCAACAACCACTGGGCACAGACCTTGGTGGTGTCTTGGGTGCTGGTCCTCCACACTGTACCTGATGTTGACACACTCTTGTTCCTCTCTGAGATATTAGATGGCTTGTTTTTCATCCTTGAAGCTCCCAAACCTGAAGTGAAAAAAATGTAAGTAGAGAAAATAATGTTTGCTTATTGTACAGAACATCCAGATACATCTAGTTAATGTGGGGGTTTTCAGGGTTGTTTGATGTTGCTATGTTATGTGGATGTTGATTTCACTTGGATTAAAATTTTATAATACAATTTGTTTCATGAAAAATATATACTGTAGTACTCTTGGGGTAAACAGCCAAACACGAATTCCACACACGTACAGACGGACCCTGATGAATGAGAGGGTCGTGTTCCAGCAAAAGCTCTCGTAAATCTATGTTTCATAAATTGGTGCACATTTTCCCACTGAATTTTATTATATAATTGGAAAAACATTCTATAAAAAGAAAATATGAATCCCACACTTGACCCCTGATGAGTTATTTTGTCATCCTAAAGTGTTTTCTTGCCGTGGTCACAGATGCTTGAGCTGTGACTGATGTATTGAGGAGTCTTGGTTTTTGCCAGGTTGCTCTGTGCTCTTTAACAGTAATTTTATTTTGCTTTCATAATGTCCTCAAACAAACAGAAAAGTGACAGAGGTGAATTTAACAGTGCTAAAAGGAAATGTTAAGTGCAAGGTGTAAAAAAAAGTGAAAATTCTGTACAAGGACCAAGGGGAGTGCATGAACAGAGTGCTTGGATAAAGAGCTGCTGTATATGAATGGTTCAAGGAAAGAACCAAAATTAATGCTTCTGGACCAGTGATTTGTGATAAAGATAAAGATTTCATGAAAAACTGAAAATTCCATGGCACTGTGATTTCATTGTGGTCTGGCACTAATTGTTTAAGAAGTAGCATGACATTTGGTGCTTTAAAGCCACTGAAGGAAAAGATGTCAGCAAAGAGATGCAAACTGTTACATACACCAGCTACCATTCTTGTCTGGACACTGCCACTGGCCAGCTGTGTCAGCCGTCGGCTAACACTCCATTCACTCTCCCTTATGCTTGCTGGCATTCTCCAAGCATCCAAACTTTTGTTCCCTTAAACATTCCACATTCTCTTACTAGTCTGCACTTTTATTCTCTCCCCCACACCACTTCCTTTCTGAGACTTCTGAGAGACTTTCGGCTTGATGTCTAAGCACAGTACAGTTAGTTGACCGAGATATAGGAGTAAACAACACACTCGGTGGCGGCAGGACACAGACTGAGCAGATGTAAACAAACTCCAAGCGGTGCATTTGGCGTGGAATTTAATGGAATCACACTCGATTTAGCAAACTAGTTCGCTAAATCTAGCAAAAATAACGGAAAGTTCGACTCGGCGGAAATTTTGATTTAACGGAAAGGGGCGGCACGAAATAGTTCGTTAAATCGAGAAAATACTGTACAGGTATAACATGAAAATAGTTGAGGAGAAATTGGACAGTCAGACAACTGGCTGAGTGACTGTGTGGTGGTGGAGACAAGTTTACTTGTTCCCACTGAGTTTGAGGAGTAAGTTATATTGTGATTGTAGGAGAATGATGACACATTAAAAACTTATTTCTAGACTGAATAACATTGTGAGTGTTAGAGAATAATGAAATAAGTTAGTAAAATAAGTAAGCTAACTGGTAGTAAAAAAAATCCAAATTTTTAGATTATTTTTATTAATACTTAACCTATATTTTATTTAGGAAATAATATGAAAATACTGTAATGATTTTTTTTTTTTGTAACTTCAGGATTTTCAGTTGACAGGATTTTCAGTTGTAAATCAAAACATGGAAAAAAATTTTGGGGGTAACTTTTAATTTTTACAACTCAAAGCCTCATAAATCATGGGTCTGCCTGTATTATTTTCTCTCATTCCTATCTTGTTATGTGGTGCTGTAGTGGTGCACACATATGGCTGCTGAGACACCTTATTGCACCTGAGCTAAAAAGAGTAAATGAACATAAATTAATACTGTACACGTGTAAGTGGTAGAGTGGTAGTGCTCGTACCTCTCAACACTGAACTGTACAGTAAGTTACCGGTGTCATAGAAATTGATATTGTAGATAGAGTGATAGTTATTAATATAAGTTATGACTACAAGTTTACGTTGACTCAGGATGTATCTGTAACTGATTGTGGTGCAGGTGTGAGGCTGTGGTGGGGGAGTTCCTGGTGAGCATCAAGAAAGCTCCAGAGAAAGTCAAGTTTGCTGACATGATCAACATCCTCATTGCACACGCTCAGTCAAGTGACCAGCTGGTGCAGGTAAGCAGAATATCCTTAAAACTGGTGTGGTCCTGGGCCCTAGTGTCCCTGAATTTAGGACCTGTATCTGTATTTTATTTTTACTTAGTTAATCACTTTTAATATATTACAGAATTATATGGTGCTTTTAGTTTAATTGTATTTATAAATGACTGACTAGATCTGATATGTGAAGCCCTGAGGTGCCTGTGCCAACCCCTCACTGTCTTGCCATATCGCAAAAATTTACAAAATGAAAAGAAGAAAGTAATGCACCTTAAAGTTTTTTCTGTATGTACTGTAAATCAACACACGGAACAAATATTTACTTTCTTAACTTTGGATTTTTTGTTAACCGGATCTTCGTAACTCAGAGCCTTCCTGTACTGTACCTATATATGATGTTTCTTCCCCAGATGATCGCCCTAACTTGGATCAGTGAGTTTGTGAAGCTGTCTCGCCGCGTGATGCTGCCTCACACTTCAGGGATTCTCACCGCTACAATTCCTTGCCTGGCTTTTGATGATCCCACATATGCCAGTAAGTCATTGTTATTTTTTCACATATATTATAAGCAGATGAGGAATTTGATTTATATTTATACCGATAATTTCACTCTTGTTCCCATTTTGTACCCTATGGTGCTCCTAGTTAGTGACCTTGAATAAACAGACAGCCACTTTACCACTTCGTCCCCAAGAGCAGAGCCTTCTGGGTGTTAGAGGCAGGCTACACTATCCTGACCAGTGTAGTGTTTAGTGGCAGCCTACACTATCCTGGCCATTTGGGTGGTTGATCTGTTCTTTGTTATGACCTTTATTGTCCAGTGTTGGTACAGGACACCATATTATCCAGACAAAACCTACCATGTTTGGTAGTGTCTCACTAGATAACACCCTCCTCACATCTGTCCCATGACACAGTGGTGAGAGTTTTCTGCTCTACCTCCAACAAGCTAGAGCCAGTGATTCTTAAACTTTTTTCATCATTACCCAAAACTAGATCCGTGATGTATGCTTGTAACCCATAATATAAGATAAACATAAACATTACAGAATATATATATATATATATATATATATATATATATATATATATATATATATATATATATATATATATATATATATATATATATATATATATATATATATATATATATATATATATATATATATATATATATATATATATATATATATATATATATATATATATATATAATATACATACACATACGCTTTACTCGGTCCCACATTCCACGTTTACGCGGTACCCTGCCGAAACAGGAATGCTAACATTCCGCGGTGCGTGTACCCCTTTACAAGGAGAGCGGCTGGCGAGCCGCGCCATTTTTGGATCCAAACCTCCCGCCCTCTCCCGCCATCCGCCATGTTGTGTAAGCGGCGCGAGCATGATGCGCACAAGGTCACCCAGTCGTCAAAACATTACCGAGTTCTTCACCCGCCACCCACCACAGCCGGCCCAAGTCAGTGATAGTGATAATTATAGTGAGGATATGGACTTATATGGACTTTGAGGGGTTTGACAAAGAGGCCTGCAAGCCTCTGTGGTGGATAGTGTACAATTGATACAAGTGATACAGGTGAGGGCCAAATAATCTGCCCTCTGCCGGAACCAACCGCCCATCCCCGTGTGCCCAGCCATCTTTTCTACTAATGTAAGTGTTAAAAAACCTAATATTATTGATATTTCTCTTAATTATTAATTGTGTGTGCATACCATCATAAAGTTAAGATAATATTTTTACGACAACATAGTTGTGTGTCGTCAAAAGGTGGAGTTTGGCGGTCGGCCCAGTCTCTATTTCAATTAATCCCATATGTTATGTTGTTCACTTTGCGCATTTCTCACTTTCGGTACCCTGTGGGTTGAATTAACCACGTAAAGTGAGGGTTGACTGTATTTATATATATATATACAGTGACCCTCGTTTAGCAGGCATACTCGGATTCGCCAATTTGGGTTCTTGAACTGCCTTTAAGGATCTTCAATTCGGTTAACGAACAAAAATTCGGTTAACGAATTTTTTACGAACCGACCTCAACATGTTTTCGCTTGCACTGACCGGGCAACCAGCTTTAGTATCAGTCCGCCAATACATTAATCGGTTCTAGGGCTTAAATTCCTTACTATTTTAGTAAATATCAAGAAGTTTATACTATTCAATAATTTTAAAAGTTTAATATTCAATGTTTTAGTCATTTTAACAATTATTGAACATAATTGAAGGTAAAGAAACTAGTTTCTGGCACGCCATCCAGCCTGTTAACACACCATACAGGCGTCAGTCTTTGTGTCTTTTCAGTGGAGGCAACATATTGCTTGAGACTCTCTTCAACTAAATGCTTTTTTCTGTTTCCAAGCAAATTATTGGTCATTTTGAAATTTATTTTGCATATTGACAATATATAATGCAGTGCAGTGTTGATTTAAAGAAAATAATCTTGAATTACACCAAGAGAACTAAAATTTTATGGGTAAAATGGGGCCATGGGGTGACTTCTCTTCCACCCCAATGCCTTCTCTTCTCCCTTCTCCTCCTCCACCTCCCACTTCAAATGCACATCATCATCATCATCCAGGAGCCTTCTACATACACACCTCAAAGTAAGTGAACTTTTCTACCATTTTTGTTGAATTTCGGAAATTTTCGGTGAGCTGGAACCAATTACCCAAAAACCCATTGAAACAATGGTTTGATTTAGCGAACTTTTCGGTTAACGAACGACCTTCTGGAGCAGTTGAGTTCGTTAACCGAGGTCACTAACATATATATATATATATATATATATATATTTTTTTAATATACACAGTTGAACCTTTATACACTGGATTTTTTTTTTAATAGCTTTCTGAGATGCTCTGGACTACTTCTCAATTCACTTGTGTACAGTATGAAACTGTCATATCAGTGAAAACAGTTGGTGACAACGAGACTCATGTCTGATTTTCTTGAAACAGTTCAGGGTTATGTTCAGACCCCCTCCCATAGATTTGCTTTTTCCAGACTGCGGTCTGACTGCCCCAATTAGTCCGGTGTATTGAGGTGCTACTGTACAAGCAATAGAGCAATATAATATACTACAATAAGACATAACTAATAATATAATATCATAGAATGTAAATAATATAACTCAAACTAATGAGTAGGATGACTTTGTTTTGTGTTAACCAGATCATCAAAGCAAGATGTTGTGCCAGACAGGCTGCAGCACAGTTTATGCTCAGGCTGTAATCTGTTCAGATGCTTCATCTGTGTCAGTGCTAATGTTGAAAAACCTGCCTTACAAAGGTATGTTCATGCCAGGAGGACTTGCAGAGCTTCAGCAGCAATGATTGCTTTATCATTAAAGAGCATGACCCAGAAATTACTGAGGGATTGCTGCTTGAAGCTGTGGCATAGTAATTCATCATGTTGTATTTCTGTCAGTTGTTATTGTAGTCCTCTGGGTGAGCTCTTGTCTGGTAAATTTTCCACATTAACATCAAAAGGATTTTGAACCCAGCAGTATCTCTTGGTAATTTCAGCAGGAATATTCTGTGGGGTTTAAATTCTTCTCTGAGATTGTTCAAGTGTTCCCAAACACTGCCATGAATATCCTCAAATGATGCTGATGCATTTTCTCCAAAGCCTTCCAACAGGGGACTTCACCCCTTGTGTACTGTACTGGGGTCTCTGTGCTGGGATGACATCGTGTGGCCTTAGCTAAATAAAATATTAAAAGTGACATCCCCGTAGTGAAGGGTTATGGACAGGAAAGATCTGGTCTTTCCTCATTCCATTTTGCCTTTCCACATCTTCAGCTTGTCCTTAAATGAGGACAGCTTGTCAGTGAGTTGAATCAAAGTGTGACTCCAACCTTGCATGGAAGCATTCAGGCAGTTACTGGTATTTTCACTGAATAGATCTGCTTGGTAGGCCACTTGGTACAACCATTTTGACTCGGAGAACCTAGCCAAGTCGTGTTTCTCCTCGCTGAGAAAAATTTCAAGCGCAATTCCCAAGGCCACAACTCATTCCAGAACCTTTTTCCGTGAAAGCCACCTGACCTCCATATGGTACTGCAAGTGGGTGTGTCCGAATCCGAAGTCTGAACATACTTCTCGGAACAGTCCCAAGTTGAGCGCTCTTACTCTGTCAAAGTTCATCAATTGAACTGCCTCGATCATGAAGACAGCCAACTCACCTGGCAGCTTTATTGAAGTAAGGTTCTTACGGTGAAGAGGACAGTGAATGATCATCCCATTTGCATTCACTTCTTTCACATGAGCAGCAAAGCCTTGTTGTTCTCCAAGCAGGGATGGGGCCCTGTCACAGCAGATGCTGTAACATTGAGTCCATGTTGGCTCTTCTTCTCTAAAGAAGCGATTCACAATGTTCAAAATATCATGGCCTGTCATGCCGGAGTTGTGACCAGCGAACAGCAAAAAAGATCTGCTCCTCCATGTCATCTCTCATCTATATAAAACATAGATAAGCAGTTAAGAGTATTTATATTCAAATGTATTCAAATATTACAGCATTTCTGGGTATTCATATGTGAATACAGTACTGTACTGTACATTACTATTAGAAACCCAAGTAATATTTTCATTTCTATTTGAATCCTCAGGCAAATTATTAATATTCATTGTATAATCTGATGAATAATAATTGTTTTATTGATAGAAATAACCATACATTTGGCTGCTGAATTTATTTTGGACGAACAGAGCGAGAGTGAGTTTGGGGGGATGTAAAATCTGCTTATTAAATCCATGACGTTAGAAGCTGTTTATCACAGTCTGTTAGTAAATAACATGCAACTCTCAATGGGGTAAGTAGGCTACTGGTGACGCTTTCATATTGTGAGATGTGTACCCGTGTGGTGCCAAATTGTGGCTTAATGTTATTGTTTCAATAATAAATTCTGACTCCTATTTGAAATTGGATATAAATTTTATATATATTGTGGTCATTATTATTAGCAGTCGGAGAGAACGCAATTAACTTGTGTGTCACACATGTGCTATGTATGTATACTTAATGATTTTTTAGTTGATAAATGGCAGCAACACTGCCTGCCTGCCTGCAGCCTATCTAGAAGTGTAGAGTAGGTTTAGTATAATAACTAATGATGATGTGTTGTGTCTGTTAAAACTACAGTATTAGGAAAGTATAAATAAATATACAGTATCTACACAGGACAGGTTTGATATATTGAATACCAATCATAAAATCATCTACCACTATATGCCACATACTTATAGCAATAACAAGTTAGTTTTTTAACAAGTAGTATTCGTGAATGCATTTCTGAGTACTTATGTAAAGTATTCATATTCACATTCAGAGTAACACTTTCTTTGTACTGTATTCGTATTCTTAGAAACTAGAAGTACTGTATTCTTATTTGCATTCAAATACAGTACTGTACTCTTGTTTTCACTCCATCCGGGTCATTTCTGACATCCAGTTGAAGGCTGAACTGATCGCTAGCTTGTACAGCTGCAGTAACTTGTTCCTTGATATAGAGCGACATATTGTTGATGTGAAAGTGGATTTATATAATTTGACAGAGATACAACATGTAGTTTCTTAGCTACAGCATCACCGCAAAGAGTTTTAACCACGTCAAAAACAACCCATTTTATGAGGTCTTGTCCAGTGTGGGGCGCTTTTTCTTTGTAATTTGCCAAACTACAAGGTAGGAAGCACAGAATAATTTACTGTATTACCCAGGGTGTCCAGTCCCTGCCACTTAATTGTTTCCTCCTTCCTATTAAAGAAAGCACTATTTTTGTCTCTACAGTACAGTACTGTGTTTGTTTCGTATCTGATGTCTTTTCAGCTTACTCTCCTTGAGTGATTGGTAGCAAGGATTTCTCCACACACAACACACTGCACTGTGGCTTCACATCACCGTCAATAGTTATGTGAATGAATTAAAGATTTTAAAAATGCATCTTTGTATGTTCCCCATCCTTTAAAAAAAAGTACAACATTATAATCCAGGGGTAACTCAGCTTCCTTTGACACACAAAAAAGCAAAAAAATGGTGAAGAAATAAGGACGAGATGATTACAAAAGTGACACAGCAGGAAAATACGACAACTAAAACCAAGTGAGAAAAACCATATCCCCGTAAATAATAGTACATACTGTTTTACCAGACACAACAATGTTTAAAAAAAATTCTAATAAACCAGCTGACCTCACGAGCAACACCTTTTGTGTGTACAGTACAGGTTAGTAGCAAAATGAAAACTGAAGTGAGGTGTTTGCACGCTTAATGACTATAAAGATCTTGCAGCCCGTTCAAACAGCTTAGCTTATCGTCACCTATCAAACAGCTCAGCTTCTCGTGACCCATTGAACAGCTCAGCTTCTCGCCACCCATAGTTTAAGAACCACTGAACTAGACACCTGGAACCCTCTCTACCTACACGTTGACCTAGATTTACTCAAAGACCACATTCCTGAAAAACGTCCTTAAATAGAAGAGCCATAAATTGAACTGGTTTTTTCCCATTTACTCCCATTATAAGTTGGGAGATACTGTATGTCCCTCATGAAAAAATTCTTTGACATGTACTGTATTAAAATGACACTATAGTAAACATGTTTTTATGCCAATGGGGACTTACTCTCAAGGGAAACTTCTGATCATGTCATAGGTATTTGCTAGTAATGAACAGTTATGTCAAGATGCCATACTGAACTTGAGGAAATATTTAAAGCTCAGCGGTGAGTAATACCTGTGTTAATATTTCTCTAGTCTTTTTTTAGCAGAGTATTATAGCGAGAGGGAAAACCAGATATGAATGTTCAGTAAATGATGAGGCTGTGTTAATATTTCAGCTAGGAGAAGGGCAGATATAAGGGAGTCTGATACCTAATATTCCACCGCCTTTTTATCAGAGACTCGAGCGTTGGCCGAAGACGTGAGCTCGGAACTGATGGAACTCATTACCGTGGAAGACGACAGAGATGGCCCCGAGGGTTCGGCCGACTCGTCCAACGACCAGAACTCAGCGTCGCCCTGTAATGGTACGTTATAGTATAGCAACATGAGTAAGCTACGGGGTGGGTGAGAAATAACAGACACATACTGTATAAATAGCAGTGTGTGGATATATTTTTGTGTGGAGTATATATAACAGTGTGTCAGTTATTTGTTTCCCAGTCTATACAAAGTCTTCCTCCAACCCTCTTCTAAAAACTCAATCCTATTTTAGTTTGTCTTATACATTACTGGATCTTATCTGTTCTTGTGGAATGTCTACAAGTGATTTTGTTTGTTTTTTGTTTTTAGGGATGTTATCATATTTATAGTTTCTGTCAGTTCCCTCATTCATATACTGTATATATTTGTATATTTTTTCCCTGGACCTCCCCCTACCACCTCAAAAGTCAGGGAGATCTTAACCTGTACTGTATTGGATTTCAGTGCTCCTTTGAATACAACTCCAGTTTTATTTATTATTTATTTATTTATTCATTTTTTTATCATATCACCTCATATCTTACTGGCCATTTAAGCTGTTGGTCTATTCTTTGTTACAACCTTTATTGTCCGGTGTTAGTGCAGGAGGAAACTGTAGTACCCAGAGAAACACACTGGTTGACACCTATCTCACATCTATCCTAGCCTGGGGATTGAACCCAGGACACTGTAGTGAGAGATACAGCACAATACGTAAACTCATAAACTAAGACTGACATTTCTACATAATGGCCCTGAAGAGAGATACATTTTCACTTGCAGATTTTTGTAGTGAGGGGCTTGATCTAAAGTCGGTGATGGAGGTACTCCGTAAACAGCTGCGCAACACTCCGGTCCCCTGCAAGACGGCCGTCCTCCGATGGGTCTACCACCTCCATAACAAGATCCCCAATAAAGTACGGAGACTAATTTATTACAGGCGTTGACGTTTATTATTTTTAGCCATTATTATTTTAAACCCATAACAAAGTCTTCCATTCAGATTTTTCAGGAGTGTGAATCCATATTATTTAATCTGATTGATGAGTGAGGGGAGTACTCTTGATTCATTGAGTGAGGGGGAGTACTCTTGATTCATTGAGTGAGGGGAGTACTCTTGATTCATTGAGTGAGGGGAGTACTCTTGATTCATTGAGTGAGGTGAGTACTCTTGATTCATTGAGTGAGGTGAGTACTCTTGATTCATTGAGTGAGGTGAGTACTCTTGATTCATTGAGTGAGGTGAGTACTCTTGATTCATTGAGTTAGGTGAGTACTCTTGATTGATTGAGTGAGGGGAGTACTCTTGATTCATTGAGTAAGGTGAGTACTCTTGATTCATTGAGTGAGGTGAGTACTCTTGATTCATTGAGTGAGGTGAGTACTCTTGATTCATTGAGTGAGGTGAGTACTCTTGATTCATTGAGTGAGGTGAGTACTCTTGATTCATTGAGTGAGGAGTACTCTTGATTCATTAGTGAGAGGTACTCTTGATTCGTGAGTGAGGTGAGTACTCTTGATTCATTAATTGAAGTGAGTACTCTTGATTCATTAGAGTGCAGGGACTAGATTTGTAGAAGACACCTCCAACTCCCCCAGAAAAATTGGCCTGTATTACCTGTATCTTGGTCATTAATTACTAGTACAGTGCTGTATCCCACCACTAAAGTACAATTGCTATTATTTATTTATTTTATTATTATTATTTATTTATTTTAAATTGCTATTATTTATTTATTTTATTATTATTATTTATTTATTTTATTTTATTTTTTTTTTTTTTTACATATTCACTAAACTTGGTTACACTGGCCAGCTCACGTGAACGGGCATAATACTGTGGCTATGTTGTTTGGTGGTGGGATATTGTGAAGATTTGTTGGGTAGCCCAGCTGTTGTGTTTAGGTAACCTACTGTTATATGGGAGGGTTAAGTTTGGTTAGGTTAGGTTTGCTTGGGTTTGGTTAGGTTGAGTTAGATTAGCATTAAGGTGAAATAAATAGAGGTTCCTAATCTTCCTGGCGTCTATTCAGTGAACCCTCGATATAATGTACTTCTTCTCTCCATATAATTCGTTAAATGGAGGTTTCACATCTAACGGACCCTCGATATAATGCAGTAGTTCTTTAATTCGAGGTTTTACTGTTATGCGTCTTACGATTAATTGATTGATTTTGGTAATTACATCTCTGGCGGCACAACAGCTTAGGTCATAGGTCGCTGAATTAAATTGAAGGTTTAAAAGACTTACGCTCCCCCACAGATGTGTCGGTACCTGGAGGAGTTATTCCACGTTCTCCTGAGGACACTGTCGGACCCTTCTGACGAGGTGGTGTTGCTGGTGATTCAGGTGTTGGCTCAGATCGCCTCCACGACCAACCAGCATCCTGCGGCAGCCATACAAGGTGAGAGAGGGGGGGAGAGAAAGAGAGAGGGTTGAGGGAGTGGAAGGGAGAGAGAGAGAGAAATAAGATTGTAGGAGTGAGAGAGAGAGAGAGAGAGAAGAAAGTTAAGGAAGAGAGAGATAGAAAGAGAATATTGAGAGAGAGGGAGAAGATAGTTGAGGAAGAAAGATAGAGAGAGAGGAGATGAAGGGGGGAGATAGAAAGAAAAGATTGTGAGAGAAAAACAGAAGGAATAAGGAAGAGAGAATGAGATTGGATGAGAAAGAGTAAATGTATGTAAACAAAGAGAGAGAGAGAGGGGTATTTTATATTCCCATTTATATGCCATTAATAAAGGTAAAGATGAGTTAAAAACAATATAACCAGTGAAACTTTTTATAAATAATACATAGTAAATATTTCTTGTGTATCTGTATATGGAACGTTACTCATGAGTGTTACTCGTTACTCCTAGTGGTGGACGGTGAGGAGAGGAACAACGTCGACGAGTACTTCACAAGATTCCTCCAAAACCTTCTTCATCTCTTTGCCACTGAACGGAATCTCTTAGAAGACCGCGGACCTTTTATCATCAGGTGAATCACGGTCGCTCTTTTACTGGTCATCCCCCCCCCCTTTCCTACATTTTTCTCTCTGGCAATTGAGGAGAACTTCTTTGCTGTCGATAGATAGATAGGTATTCAGTAAAATCATTATACAATTATAGAGTTGGTTCAGCATGTGTTATAGACGATGCAGGTATATAATGTACTGCACACTTTATGAAGTATAAGAGGAAATTGCATCAGTCCCACAATGTCTCTTAACTTTTTTTTTATATACTTTTTCCCTTTCAGATTATGAGAAGTTATGAGTGAACAATTAACAAAGTACTGTGCACACTTTCAGGCCAATAATTCCCTTGAAACTTTTGCCAAACCTTGTTCAGACTTGGCCACCCCCCCCCCCCCCCCCCCCTACCCAGAATAGACCTCGTAAGATGTCAGAATCATTTATTGAGATTCAGGAAATAAGAAAAAAAATTGGTAATGGACATCAAAGTTTCCAAAAGAATGTTTATGAGATGTGATCTTGTTTGTGTTAAAAGCTTCCCTGTGTCACTGTTATAGCAATGGTATTAGACGTTTCTCTTGAATATTAGTAAACATTTCCTTTCTATTTTAGTTATGTTTAAAGTTGTGTTTTCTTGTGTTCAATACAGGCAGCTGTGTGTGATGTTGAGTGCTGAGGACATATACCAGACCCTGGCAGAGCTACTGCAGAAGGAGGAGAACCTGACTTTTGCATCAGAAATGGTGCAGACATTGTCATCGATTCTTCTTACATCAAAGGAATTGTTTTCCCTAAGAATACAACTGAAGGATCTCTCAACTCCGGTAATGTGATGACAGTTTACCTTAATAGCTTAGCTTACCTTTAGCTCTGGCAAGTTTCTTAAGTTGCGCTGTGTAGTGATGGGTGCTGTGTAGTGATGGGTGCTGTGTAGTGATGGGTGCTGTGTAGTGATGGGTGTCGTGTAGTGATGGGTGTCGTGTAGTGATGGGTGCTGTGTAGTGATGGGTGTCGTGTAGTGATGGGTGCTGTGTAATGGGTGCTGTGTAATTGTGGGTGCTGATCAATACATAGACCCTGATAACTTGATACATCATGTTAATTTTCAGTAAGGTTTGAGAAACGTCTTGTGTTGAAAGTACCGCAGGTCATATAGTTACAGATACAAGTACTGTACTATATTAGTTTCCCTTATTGAGTGCATGTTTTTATTTGTATGATATTTATTGTATTACAGTCATCATCATGTGTGAGTTACGGGGTAGAGACACTGACCTTCGTTTATAATTTCTCCCCTCGAAGAGAATAAAATAAAGGGCAAATAGTCTTATGTATTTCAAAGTTTCCATAATACTTCTATGAGAACTTTTGGCTCTTCTTTTCTTCCTTTGATCTACGGAATAAGGTGGAGCAGCATGGTTTTGGTGTTATACATTACATCCAACAGGGAGCTAGATCTTTACTCTTGTAGGGAATTTCTCTGGATATGTTTTATGTTACAGTTGTGCTCCTGTGGTCTGCTGCTGTGAAACAAGTCACTACAATGTTGTTTTTTTTAACAGATCCTGTGTCTAGGGATGAGATAATACCTTGTGGAGATGAAATGATTTATTTGTTTATCAATTTACCATTTACTCTACAGTATTAGCTTACTAGTAAATTGGGCAGTTGGTCTGTTTTTTATTACTTTATAATGACCTTTACTGTCTGGTGTTAGTACAGGTAACTGGAGTACCTGGAGAAAGCCTGCCATATTTCATAGTGTCACATCTGTCCCTGATTGGGGATTGAACCCAGGACACATTAGTGAGAGATATGTATTACCTCTCCACCACCAACATCCCAATGAGTCTATCTCTTGGATTTGTTCTCTGGGAGTTAATCATTTAACTTGCCAGGATTGATTTTCACATACCCGCAGTTTTATGTTTTATTTATCCCAAAAGGGGGGGGCATCATTTTTAAACAGATCAGGACCATTTGGAAGAAGACCTGTTTCTTATGTCCAGAGTGCAGGTCTTAAGGAAGCCTTGGCAGTTTAGTGTTGCTTCTTAATGGTGTGGTAGGAGTTACTGTACTTCCCTCTCCTACTTCAACTGTTTCCCTATTTTGTGGTAGCAGTAACCAGCCTGTGCATCAACAACCACCTGGTCTCTGTCCTCTGCCGGGTTACAGAATTTAAGGCTCGGTTCTCCACTTATTTTTAGGCACATTCTAAAGTCCTTTATTGTTCTCTCTCACTGAAAATAAATCAAAATCTATGGAAAACTTAAAACATATATTTATCCCTTAATAATGTATAGCACATCATTGTTTTTTCAGGAAAGCTGTGATTTGTTTGTTAACTTGTATCGTTCGTGGAGTCACAACTCAGTGGCGACCCTCACCCTCTGCCTCCTCACCCAGAACTATTCACATGCAGCTTCCCTCGTCCATGCCTTGTATCCTTTACATTACTTATTTGTTTTTATTTACAATTTATTGATATTCTCAACATATTTTATAGCTTATATAGATCATGTACAGGACAGTTTAGTGGATTATTTATATTAACAAATGGGTGGTTTATTGTGGTAAGGAAAACACATAAGCTGGAATTTACTACACAACATATCACACCAACTGTGAACAATGCCGTGGTCTGAAATGTTACAGAGTAAACTTCAGGAAACCTTTATGTTCATCACCACTACCAACCACCTGTGATGATTTATATTGGTTAAGGCAGTGAATTAGGTAATACATTAGTTAGCCTAAAGAATAAGATGCTTTTATACAATGTACACGCTCACCAAAAACTTCCTGAATGCTATAATCACTCTGTAATCTGAAAAATGGACAAAGACTCTGAAACCATTCCCAGATGACAAGCCCCATTCTGCTCATTGTCACATCCATCATGCCCAGGTGTTAGAGAAGCTTGGGTTAACAGTGTACATATGCAGTACAGTACTGTGTGTTTTGAAGAGCCCAGAGTATTATATGTTGACAAATAAGACTCTAGGAACTGAACCATCATCTAACCATATTGTAAATTTGTAAAGTATGAAGATGATTATGAGTGTGGAAGTCATTTGTGTTCTATATTAACAGCCATAGGACTGTTGTGACTCTGGCAACACTACTGCTTATAAGGTAGAAAATACTATCAATTGATTGCTTACTTAAATCTCTATTGTTAACCCTTAAATGTGACCATCATCACTGGAAGTTGGCTGTAGGGACAGTGGCCATCATCAGTGGAAGTTTCATGTTTTTGCATTCCATTTTTGTCCACATGGAGGGCCAGAGTAGAGTATCCTCAGCTGACAGTTTAAGGACAGCTCCTGCACTAAAAGACTGATACAGTGGCTAGTTCTCCTGTAACCCATCACTCACAGGGAGAGTCCAGGGTGTGTTTATTATGTCAAGATAAAAAGTTCAGGATTTTCTCTGCTTGTGAAATTAGGTGTGTTTAAGTAGGGAAAATAAGTGAATGATGCAACGCCCTTATTTTGGGACCCAAGACACCTTCCAGTCCCACAAAACTGGACGTCTCTTGTCCTTTAGATCTGGAATTAGAATCATTTTGAGTCACCTGTATGTTAACCGGCAGCTACGGATTCCTTACTTTGCCCCAATGTGCACACAAATGAAACTCACGGAACATGAAACATCCACTTACGATGGCTGCCATTTAAGGGTTAATAGATTTAATTTGGGAAATATTTACTGCACTGTATACTAACCATTGGTGTTATATATACTAAGTAGGAAGACAGAAAGCACTTATTAATATAACCCTTTCACCTACTGTAATAAATGAATACAGTTCATACCAGGTGTACAGGTACTTAATGATGGTGGAACAACTTTTGGGTGGACAAGCATCCTGCCTTGAGAGTGGAGTAACCCATTAGCTGCAGAAAGATCAAACTTAGGAGTCACCATCTGTGTCGTGAGAAGAATTATTTTAAAAGCTCGACAGATAGATATTATAACACTTGTGGATGTATCTTTCCTTAATGATTTATCAGTGGAAATATTGAAGTGACGACAGATTTCCTAGTGGAGGTGGATAAGCTGGTCCAGTTGGTGGAATCTCCTATATTTACCTGTGAGTATTTATCTTAACCTAACCAAACCTAACCTTAACCTAACCAAACCTAGACTGCCATCATCTGTGTTCCATTTTTGTATATGTGGGAGGGGGGGAGGATGCCCTGAGGTGATATGGTGTCTGTTTGTGAGTGATATTCCTCCCTACTGTTGTAAAGGGGATTTGATATTGTATAGTGGATCAAAAACTATGTACAGTAAAACCTTGATATAATGGACTTCTCTCTCCATATAATCCATTAGCTGGGGGTTTCACAATTAAAGGATACTCTATGTAATGGACTTTCATCTCTATATACAGTAGTTCATTAAATGGAGGCTTTACATCTAACAGACCCTTGAAATAACAGACTTTCATCTCCATGTAGTACGTTAAATGATGTTTCACTGTACTTTGAGGGTCAATGAATTTCAGAATGCACACTACTACTCCTGTTGTTTCAGTGCGGTTGTTAAAATCCCTCATCCACTGTGTTATGTCGTCTACCACAATTATGTTAGGATAGTTTTTGATCGACTGTACTCTACACCATTTCTCAGATCTGCGCCTGCAGCTGCTGGATCCTGTTGGTCACTCGGCTCTGGTGGAGACACTGTACGGGCTCCTTATGTTGCTGCCCCAGAGTGATGCGTTCTCTCTCCTGCGGTGCCGCCTCAACTGTGTCCCTCCCAGTCACCTTCTGAAGTACGTACTGACCTTCATTTCTACTTTATCTTAACTGTAGTGTATTATTTTTTTTATTGTTATAGTATTACAAAATTATTATTATTACAGTATTATTTTTATTATTATAACCTTTATTGTCCAGTGTTAGTACAGGAGGAAACTGTAGTACCCTGAGAAAACTTGCCGTGTTTGGTAGTGTCACTCTGGATAAGAACCTTCTCACATCTGTTCTAGGCCAAGGCTTGAAACCTGGACACAGTTGTTAGAGGTAGACATATAACTGTTGATGAACTACCTCTTCTAAGTCTTCATACCTCTATAGATTTATAAGTACAGGTACTGTAATAGAATTTGATCCATCAACCACTAAATCCTCTATACTTCACTGCAATTAGTATTAGATCTTTCTCTCTCGGTATTAAGGCATTCTAATTCCCCATAGTTAAGTTATGACCTGGTGTATCTCATGGCCACCCCAGCTAGAGGTGGACAACATGTGTAGAGGCCATAGGTATATATTTTCCTTTATGATCCATTAGATTCTCTCTTTTATATACAGTGAATTGGTATGTAATGTTAATTGATCCTGTATCCTGTGTTGATGGTGAATATGAATTAATATAGTTTTACATCTTACTCCACTGCCAGACACACACACGGCAAGGTAGAGGAACGCCCTCTGGCCAGCTCTATGGACTTTGATGAACTTTTGACACATTTCTGTACCACACAAGAGAAACACAGGAAGTACAAACATCAGAAAATTAGGCAGAGACTACAGTCCAGCATCGACCCCTCGGCCAGACACCAGAGCTAGTGGGTGGTGGGGTCATATGTTTAAGAAGTATCATCTTTTGGTATACAGTATATACTTCAGGCTGATGAAGGCATATAATATTCACAAGTCATGAAACAAATTCTGATTATCACTTCTTATTTTTCATAATTTTTTAAAAGATGTTTCAAAGATTCTTTTTTTTCTTGAGAGTGAGAGATACATACAGTACTGTACTAGTATCATAAGTTTAGAACATTTTCTAATTAATATAAAGTTAGTGTCACTAAGTATGAATCGATCACCAAATCACTTGATTCTTTTGTATTTAGTCACGGTTAATATGTACCTAAGGGATGATTGTAATGGTTTTATTAAAATGTTTTTGTAGATTCGTTTCAACTTTTATTGCTCTCAATAGGTTAACATCCACCATGATGTACAACCTGTCTTCATGGATCCCAGCCCAGTGTGTGTGTGTTAAAGGGTGAATCTTTTGCCTGAGTGGACATACAAGGTAACTCCAGCATATACAGAAATACCACAATGTTATGGAAAAGGAGAATTGTACTATGTTGTAATGTAAATGATTTCTTTACACATCCACCAACACCAACCTACAGTACCTCACACATCTTAGTACAGTGTCTGCATATTTACTTAAACTCAATCACCGAGACTTCCCTGATACGTTTGCACTCTGAATATCTTAATACTGATTTACTCTGGGTATATATTTACTAACTCGTCGTGTAACCAGAACTACGTATGTGTGTTTGTTTATTTTGATTCACGGCTTTATAGCCATGTTTATTTCATGTACGGTTCTCTACCCACCTTACGTATTTGCTTGAATTTTTTTTTCCAACAGAGCCGTGGCAGTTTACTTAATTTTCAGCACTTTTTCATTTGTTATACTGTACCCGTCTTTGTAGTGCAGAGTGGGGATATTACCAAAGAATCTCTATCACTCCATCTGGTTATCCAAAATGATCAGGGTATTTTTATACTTTGTATAATCAACTACTACTACTACTACCATTTATACTCTTGTGCTATTTATTGCAGTGTAAATATTTTTATTAAACTGTGTACAGTACATGGATTTTGTCTTGTGGTGAATGATTTGTGTAATAATTATTTTTGTTATTGCTATTGTAACAGTATTAACTATTGTTATTGTAGCAGTTTTAACTATTATTATCATTGCTATTACAGTCTATAGAAATAAAAGTCCATTATATCGAGGGTCCATTAGATGTGACCCCCCCCCATCTAATAGATTACATGGAGGGAGCAGTTTGTTGTATGGAGTCTTCTCTGTAATGTATTAAGTAGGGTAATTATTTTATTTTTGTATTAACGTACAGTGTATATACAACTACTCCTCGGCTTACGACCACCAGGACATACGACCGCCGCAGTCGTATAAAATATTTTTCAAATTACGTATTTTCGAGTCCCGACAGTGATCGCTCTGTGTACTGACAAAATTTTCGTTTGTAATTCCCTTTAAAATGGCTGGCATGCGTAAAAGCGAGAGTTCTCGTGGTGCTGAGAAGAAAAAGAGATGCCCATTTTAGATTGTTTATGTATTATTTTCGCATTTTCGACTTATGACCTGGTCGCCGGTCCCTAACCCCGTCGTAAGTACTTCTTCAAAGACATACAGGAGGAATGATAATATACACGGTATGTACACTTTTTTCAGTTACTAAACTTATGACTGTGTTCGAACTGGTAATGAATATTAAGCATCTAATTGCAATAGTTTTTCATATTTTAGTTGAGTAGAATTGAATACAAATTGCAGATCTTGTGAGAGTGTGGAGGTGACAGTGGTGGCTGTCTCTTAAAATTTATTATTATTAGGAAATGGTTCTGTTTACTCCTTCATTAGTTTCATTTAATCACTATGTTACTTTAGAGACTCATTGTAAGATATTGTCAAGTTTGGTTATAAAATATAGTCAAGTTTGATTGTAGGAGGCTGTGTTATTTTTACATTTAATCTGAATTTAATCAATGCCAAAATATTATACACTGTATCCCCTCTGTGCTTTATCTTTTAAGGTAAATTTTGAGTGACAATGCCTTCTTTTGGAGAGATATGCCCCTTGATTTAACATACAATTTATTATTGGTTTAATATATATTCCTTTGTGTGTCTCTATGTATTCTCGTTGTTACTGTATCATCTGTTTGGTGTAATTTTTATATTGAACTCTGATGTGAATTCATTATTAGATCGTTCCCTGGTATAGAGTGCCTTTGAATTTAATATTTTACTGTACAATATAAGATCTCATTGATAGGCAATATTTTTCCATTATGAAGAAACCATAGCTATAAATCTTTAAATGTCAGCCATTGTAGGGACGGTGGTCATCATCAGTGGAAGTTAGCAGTAGGGACGGTGGTCATCATCAGTGGAAGTTAGCTGTAGGGACGGTGGTCATCATCAGTGGAAGTTAACTGTAGGGACGGTGGTCATCATCAGTGGAAGTTAGCTGTAGGGACGGTGGTCATCATCAGTGGAAGTTAACTGTAGGGACGGTAGTCATCATCAGTGGAAGTTAGCTGTAGGGACGGTGGTCATCATCAGTGGAAGTTAACTGTAGGGACGGTAGTCATCATCATTGGAGGATGAATCATGTTCCTTGCGTTCCATTTTAGTACATGTGGGGGAGGAGTAGAGAATCCGTAGCTGTATGTTAAAGTGCTTGCTAGAGTTAACAAGGCACCAGTAGATGGAACTGAATCAAGATTTAGCCTGAGTGTCATCATCCACCATTAACACTGCACCACGTCAACCAACTACTGTACTGTCACTTTTCAGCTGGCCATTTTGGTGAGTACAATTACTTGTGTGTTAAAGAAAGAATGAAGGAAGAAGCAAAGTCATGAGTGTAGTGTATGGTAAAGTTTATCCACCTCAATAATGGGAGAGTATTGCATCTATTTTATAGTGTAGTATACAGTATACTGTACAGTATTACAATCTACAGTAACATTAAACAACTATTTTTCTTTCATTTTACAACTTTCATTCTTTTTTCTGTTCATTTTTTGTCTGTATTTTTGAGTGTTTCTAATATGTATATTCATGACACATAAGTTTAAGATGTGTTACATAGTCTATGTACTGTTTTACTACAGGGTATTATACTATTGTTAAGTTCAGCAGCTCACAGTCCTAAGATCCTCTCAAAAATGGGATGATTACTGATATTTGTGTTACACTTCAGTCCCCACCATTAGAATTCACAAATTGTGAATTGTTTACATACTGTGCTGTACCAAAGGGCAAAAATTGCACAAATGTTGAGTAAAAATGTTGTTTGTGAAATGGTATATGTACCTCTGTATATTCTATATTTTTGTTATAAGGTAAATATAATAACTAGGTGTTTGTAGTGTAATACATTTTCTTATCATCTTACCTGTATGAATTTATTCACACTAAATCATATACAGTACAGTACAGTATATCACATATTTATGAAAATTAACATGGATAAATATACAGTACAGGTTAACTTCTATTTACGATGTCCCAATCTCAGATAATTCGCGATAATGATTCTTGTATACTAAGACCACTCCCATATTTGTGATGTAAACAAACTCGTATTAACAATATTCATCATCTCGCCAATTTGGAATGTGGAACACATCAAATACTAGGGACTGTCAGTTGATTGAAAATGTTCAAAGGAGGGCCACCAGACTGGTGCCTGCACTTTGGCACCTCAACCACCCTGAGAGATTGAGATTGGAGCACCTGAACTTGCCTGGCTTATACTACAGACGGGCAAGGGGCGACCTAATTGAGGTACAGTATATAAGCAGCTCAGGGGGCACTACTCAGTCGAGTGTCCTTACTTGGAGCTGGCGGACGCTTGCCCCACAAGGGGTCATAGCTCAAGGTTGAAGAAGCCATAGGCCCAGAAAACTGTGTGGGGTAACTCTTTCGGAGTGAGAGTTGTGAACTCTTGGAACAATCTACCAGAGAGTGTTGTGACGGCACCGAGTGTGAGCTCTTTCAAGACGAGACGTGACCAACACTGGAGCAGGTTCAGGTACATTCAGGAGCCAGTGCATGCCCAGTACTTGCCAACGGTGTGTAACAGAAACGTAACAGATCGCCCAAGCGGCTAACGAGCCGATCATTGGTGAAGAGGATAAAAGTAAAAGTAACTTCATTTGTCAGCTGAGGCGTCATCTATCCAAACGCTGCCTCGTGGTCATCTGGTGAACTAAAGTCCAGGCATTGTTTCTTCTTGGAGCTCAATGTTTAGCATTAATGATTAATTTTTTTTTTTACCGTGTGAGAGGCCATCACTAAAGTTCATACAGGTATTGTACTCTGTTTTGGTGACTATGAAGGATTTTTCCTACTTTTTTTGTGACTGAAAAGTGCTTTGCCTCTGTTGTTATGATCATGAGGTGAGCAACAGCAACCGGTATCATTATTTTTGTTATAATTTTTTCCCCTTACAATTACAGGAAATTGTAAAGTTTTACTGAACAGAAACTGTACATGTACTCATTTTTAGTGACTGTGAAGTGCTTTTCTTTGCTTTAGTGACTGTGAAGTGCTTTTCTCTGCTTTAGTGACTGTGAAGTGCTTTTTTCTGCTTTAGTGACTGTGAAGTACTTTTCTTTGCTTTAGTGACTGTGAAGTGCTTTTCTCTGCTTTAGTGACTGTGAAGTGCTTTTCTCTGCTTTAGTGACTGTGAAGTGCTTTTTTCTGCTTTAGTGACTGTGAAGTAAACAGTGTAACTTTGAAAATGTCTGACAAGTGTTTTGCTCACCATCTATAAGGCCAAGACAAAGGCTATACCTCCAGTCCCCACTCTTCAGACTCCCCAAAGTCTGTGTGGGACTCAGGTTGATGCCTCCACTCCACCTTAGAGTCCCCTTAGCCTTGAAGGGGACATGTGTTGACGACCAGACTTGTTCATAATGATGTGGTGAGTGTTATTTAATTGTGTTGTAGTGCTAGTAGTATTTTAAGGATTTATTTTTGGTAATATACAGTATGTGGGTGTTATGACTGGCCAGGAACCTATCCCATTGAACCCCATGTTATAATGAACCTGAGTTACGATATTGCGACCTGCGATGGGGTTTTCAGGAACCTAACCCCATCGTAAATAGAGGTTTACCTGTAAAAGTTTTTCATGAATCATTCAACCTATGTTTACAGTACTGTATAATATTATATTCATGTACTGTAAACCCTGTACAGTACTGTAATATGAAGATGGTGGTTCAGTACAGGTTATATAGAGTGATCATGTCTTATAAGGAGATTCAACTCAGCTAAATTGACTTGATGTTTCGACAGAACTCAATAAAATGGATAATATTAAATAATCTCTTGTAAGGAAAAGCAATATGGTTGATACTTCAAAGAGGAAGGAAATATAAAAATAAAAGACGAAGAGAAGAGTTAAAGTTCCCAACTAGATTTACCGGTAGTTAGGGTAGGTAGGCTAGGCAAGTTTAGTGTATTTAATGTTAGTTTAGAATGGGATAAGCTTGAATCTAGTTAAAGTTTGTATTCAGTATTTTTGAAAGAGTTAAATTTCTTATATTAACTTTATACAGTATCGGTATAAAAGTATATTTTTGACGGGTAATGGACACATCAGTACAGTACAGTAATACCCCAGTGTATCTCAAAGGCTGCATCCTTTAAAGTCATTGTGAATAGTGAAGTAGTTTTCCACATAAGAATCAATGTAATTAAGGGGGATGCGTTTCCAGCCGGCAACTTTCACCACTTTTTTTTATTTACATTCAATATATTTGTTATATGTTACCATAATGCATTAATCTTATATAAATTATTAAAGTACAGTATCAAGAAATTTCATTAATATTTGATGTGGTCTATAATGGGCGATATACTGTACCTCTATAGTATAAGTGTATCAGTATTTTACCAAATAACAGGCTTATATAAATTATAATACAGTATGCCCGGATAATTTGCGGATTTTTATTTCGCGGTCCTCTATTATTCTCGGACGACACCCTGGATGTACCCAAGAATGTCTGCGGGTAGTTTTAAAGTTGCCGGCATTTTCGCGGCTGGGACAGGAAGCCATTCGTTTTGTCTTTTGTTGTGTTGTATAATTTCTACTTTCATTTTGTTTCCATAAAAATTACTTATTGTGTATTACTGTATTTATAAGTTAATGTTTTTATTCCATCAATGTAAACACTTGACTGGCCATTGGCTGCATAAAACTTCACACACAGGAACCCTTACCTATCCACTAGGAAAAAAAATCATATTTTCTTAGGTACTTTACTTTCGTTATCCAGTACATGTACAGTATTTTCTTTGTACTCATTTGGTTATTTAATTTTATAATACATATTCAATATATTAATTGTAATCCTTTCAAACACAATCAGTTACTTGTTCTACGTACAGTTTAGTCATCCCCCACATTACGGCAGAGATACATCCTTGAAAAGTTACCCAAAGCATGAAATTCTATGATTTTAACCCGATTTTCCTATTTACTCGTGTTAAACATATGGAGATGTCCCAAGCGAAATTTATTGCCCCGAGGATGTAATAAAACCACATTTATGAATGTAATACAGGTATACAGGTATTAATAAGTTGGCAATGATGTGTTTTGTGGGATGATCTCCACTCTCAAATTATCAGAAAATTATTGAAGATAACTGTATGGTGAGGTGTCTTGTATAAGGCGAGCAATGCTTGATAGTAATTCTTACACTTGGCACAGTACCTTTCAATGGTAGTGCATGAAAATTTGTGAATCTGTCTTGAAAAGTGCTTCTAGTTATCCAAACCTTCTAATTTTGATTGCATAAATCATCACAGGTAAATTAGGTTTGGTGTAGCCCTTCAGAACCTGGGATTTTCAGAATGGCACATTAGTAAAGGCTTTAATTTTAAATTTCCAGCAGTTTTGCTTCCCAAAAGAAACATTAGTCTCTGGATGCTTTAGAACCCAATGTTGGTCCTTTCCTCAGTAGAATTTATGTCCTGGAAGGTTTGCACTTCCAAGTCTTGTTTCATTTACAGTGAACACTATGGTGTGTAAGCACCTTCAACACCTTAGGATGTTTCTGAGCCACTCCTGCATCAGCACTGGCAGTTTCACCACACATCTTAATTTTGTGCACATTGTCGCCTTTTTATCCTTTCAAATTAACCTTTACTTGTAACACGAGGTTTTGCTTTGGAACTCCCACCTTGTTCATTTTGTAAATCCTTCCTCCAAGCTTCTTGCCATCTCCTGAATTATTATAAGTGTTTATCAGCACTTGAACTGTTTGAACACTTGCCAGTTTTATATCTTTACATCACATATTGTGTCCATAATAGACATAGCAACCCCTATGTCTTTATGATTTGGCTCAGGTTTTCACCCACCAAGTTTTACATCCAAGATGCAGTCCAGTAATTACTTTACAGGCTGTCTTAGTACTGCTGTTACCACTTGTAGTGCACAGTACTTAATGGCCTCTTTCTTTACATCTTGAACAAGGGTAACACTCCACAGCCTTGAATATAATAAATGATAAAACTGGGATAATTTACTGTTCTTAAACCTGTGTGCTTCATAAAACAGACACGACATGTATAGTACCAAAATGAATTATGTGCTGGGACACTATTTCCGTATGATTGAATTTCTTTGCCCTCTTCCAGATTTTACCGTAGTGGTCACGATTTAGAAATTACCTATGGGCAAAAATCTATATACAGTATAACCCAAATATCTGTAATTCAGGGGATGACTATATTTCAGGTACAGTATATGCCCCTGGATGATTTAAATTTGTAATTTTCTTTGGTGGGGACATTTGCCATTCATTATGTTTTACTGAAACACTAAAGATATGCGGTACAGTAACCATTAAACAGCACAGTATGGGATCAATCTGTAATGGTTTAAATGCCTTAATGGGAACATGATTAAGACACTGAAACAATAAATTACCAACTTATAACCAGGATAAATAAGATATATAATGTTCTACTTTTTTTATTCACCCAAGTATTCATGTGCTAACAAAACGGTTGGATACAAAAATAGGTGGTCGAGAGAAAGACTGTGCATATTCCATCAAATTCCTAACACAGACAAAGTTTGCCCAACAATCTCCCTCTAGATTGCCTATATTCATCTTATACGTGATTAGTAGAAGACCATTTACTGACAGTTTTCCCATTCCATGCTTTAATTAAATCCCTCATATTATAAAAGAAAGATTGTGATATATAACGTGAAGAATAAATGTTGCCACTACTGCACTTAAATGAAGACTCCTATAAGTTTAATTAACATGCAACCTTATTGACAGAACAGCTTACTGACTGTAATCCTTAAGTGTTCTAAAGCTTCCTTTATAACTAAACATGCACCACAACCTTAAAGCCCTTTCAGTGATGGCAAGCAAGGGAAACAAACAAAACTTAACTACAACTTCTGTGATCTTTGCTGTTCATCTCCATATTAGAAATTGCACACAGCAAGTTGATTAATACTGTATATCCGTTACATAAATGAAGACATATTATATAGTGTCGACGCAGTATATTTCACCAATCATATCCGTAAACATTGATCAGTAAAACAAGGATATGACCTTTTGTATGATAATTTGCAGTTATGCACGACACCGCAATACAGTAGTCCCTTGCCAACAGCGAATTTTGGGTGTCCACTATTTTGATTCTGTAAACCATTTCACCAATCACGACACTGAATTTTGAGTATCCACAGTTTAGCAAGCCGTCATTTTCCCTCTGTTCCAATGTATTCGTCCACGCAGCGTCCTGCCACTGCTCGCGCCTCACTCTCTTAGTGCTCCGTATGCTAGATATTTATGATGTATTTTCTGCCATAATAACATTGATTTAGCCTTAACTATGGCCCCTCAGTGTGCTTTGAGTGTTAGTGATTAAGGTCAGAAGAAAATGAAGAGGACAAGGAAGATAACGACTCTATAAAAGAAAGTTGAAGTGCTAGATAGACTAGTGTAGGGCGAGAGCGTAGCGTCAGTGGGACCTGCCGTTGGGGGGGGGGGATGAATTTTGTATTCGTACGATTAAGAAAAGTGAGGCTATAATAAGGGCTAGTTTCATCCTCATCCACCATCGTCCTCACACTATTTAATTTATATTACTATTTTATATGTATTTATATGTATTTGATTTAATTAAATGTACAATACAGGCATTGTTTAGTGAAGGAACAGACAATTTAGTTAGGTTTAACGAGTGTTATAGGTGGTCGTGGAACCTAACCCCCTATTTCCCATCTGCAAATATAATAACCACAGGGTTTTCCAGGAACCAAACCCCACAGTTGGCAAGGAACTACTGTAATTTAAATGACATTAGGAATATGTTGTACTTCAGTAATATCCAAAAAGCTGTGAGTATACAATTCTATTCCCATTATTAATGTATAAAGGAGGTTCTAGTAGTACAGTACAACTATTTTCTAAGAGATGAGATGATAATACAGTAATAACTACAGGATGTCTCAAAAATATGCACACACTGCCTTACATATTTTTTTGATTATCACTTGAATGCTTGTATTGCAACAGCTATATTGTCCTCAGTTGTTGAAGTGTGAGGACAATGTTGCTGTTTGAATACTGCACAAGCATTCATGCAACTGCCACATATATTTGTAAGGCAGTGTGTGTGTATTTTCTGAGAAATCTTGCATATTCTAAAATCAGAATTGATGAGCACTTAACAGAAAGTTCAGCTGTACTGTACTTGCTGCTCCAATGCTTTGTTACGTTTACAAATTTTTCTTCCTTTAATCAAAGATCACAGTCCAATAAAATGAGGAAAAATAAATCAGTAAATTAGCATAAAATGGTAACTTTTAAATAATGTAAATATAGCACGTTCCATCTATTCAACCTTAAACTGCAAATTATAAAAAGGCTAACGAAAAGTTCTCGTACGTAAATTAGGATGAATTATTAATTCTTTGGTAAACTATGGAATAAAAAATGCTACCTTGAAAGGGGCAACCATAAAAATAAAAAGATGCTCAGCTGTAGCGTTGCATCTTCACTGTTACAAACTAAAACAAATTTATCCCAAAACAAAGCTACTAAAGTCGCAGGGTTACGGCAGTAACTCACAATTATCAAATTACAGATAAACTAAATGCCTCTGACCTTACATCATTGCATGTTTAAAAGATAAAATCACTTCTAGCAGAACTGAACTCCTTAAGCAGTACTGTATATGTAGCTGCATCAGCAAGCTTTAGGAATACCAAACTGACAGACTGAGTAAACTTTTGACCACCATCGCTGACACAGCTTATGACTGATTCTTGGTCACTTGTTTGAATGTCTAGTGTTTAAAGTTTAAATTTCTTGATACTAAAACTTTCATAACAAATTATAACAGCAATGATGTTTGAAGAATGCATTATCATTATTAAAAACTCAACTACTGAACTTTATCCAAAAGTAATTTTATAACTTTAAATCTATCAACTGTTATAACTGCAATGCTCTACTCCTAAGTACAGACTGCAAGGCAAAATTTAAGCTAAAATAATACATATATATATATACTAAGGTATCTTGTATATTATTTCACCACTTGATAACAATAGCTTCACTTTTCTTACCATGTCTTTTCAAAGCTTCATAAAACTGATAATACAGAATATAGCTGTTTTACAAAATAAATAATATCGTTTAATCACCTGCGCAGTCATTAAATATGTTGCACTTACCTATTACATAATGGTATATTACACACGCCTAACAGCAATAGGCAAAAACATCTTTTCTGATTACAAACTGATGTTAAACTTTCAGGGTTATTGTGTACCTTACCTCCTTTCATCAAAGACAATCCGTTCTAAGCAACATTCCCTTCATCTTCCATGTACTGCACCCAACTATTAGACTACCTTATCAAGCCCAGTATCAATGTAATTAAAATATAAAGTATCTTGAGATAAATGAATAATTTTTAGTTTCTTTGAGCTTCTATTATGTACTGTATATATTATTACTTTTACAACTATGTACTGTAATAATAATATACAAAAAATGACTTGATTCTGCTACACATTGACTTCTAATGTGAATATAACTAAAAACTTACAAATTTCAAACTTTAGGTAGCAGTGCACCTGGAATATAATATGACCAAACTCCTATAATTTAATGTGACATTATTAACCAGGACATCTTGTTTGAAAGTTAAGCATACTGTAGCTCTGAGACTCGTTTAACTGTTTGAGTATGGTAGTTATGTCTTGCCTCAGACATTATAACACTGAAGTTTAACAGTATGTATCACTTTACACCATTTTCCTTGTTTTTGTAGCACTTATTCTGGTAAAAACTTACATTAGCACAAATGCAAATAATAAAGATAATTTTAAATAACATATTGTACAAATCAATGAAAAATTTTGTCTTGGGCATCTTTGTTCTGTTTACTCCGTCCAACAAGACTAGATTCTCGTGAAATTTTCTTACTAAATGAATCATTACTATTTAACAGATGTTTGTGGAACCTTAAAGGTTTAGTTAGCTATAACATATATCTTTTATGTCCATCACCACAGCAACATAAAACAATTTAAATTTTTACATTTTATCCTCAAGTTCAGAACTACAGTACTATTAAGTTCAGCTATGATACAGTCCATTCTCATTGCTTCTAAACAAATTTTTAATAATTTAAATTTACTATACAATAATTTTAATTTTAAGACAAAATTTGCAGGAATTAAAATACAGTATACATATAAATAAACTTACATTATTACTACTTGTTTCTGAAGCAAAATATTAATGACTATAATTATCCAAACACTTCCTTACTCTCTGTTTAATGATGATGAATTTTACTGAAAACAAAGACATGGATGACAAGTCATAGTAAAACTGGGCAGACAATCATGCCAGGATACCTTACAACAACAGGGAAGATATTAAAAACTACAAGTACAGAATGGACATATTCTCAGACATACATCATCTGAACAGTGAGACAAGGAGTTAACTGTTATCAAGATGACAGTACAGCACCTGGAGTACAGACTACCACAGTGTTATATGGAGAACAAATGTTTTTAAGGTAATTACAATAAGTTTGGTTTAGGAAGTGAGAGTAATGTTACTTGTGGTGCCAAGTTTTCTTTTTAAAGAGAACTGGATAATAATACAGTACATTGGTTAGAAGAATTAATCTGTGTATCCTCAAAAATATGGTCAATTTTAATACTGTATACCTGCAGTTTATACAGTAAAGTCCCCTACACACTTATAATTTTAAAAATATTTCCTATGACACCTTCGTTTAAAATTATTCACAACATTAAATTTAGTTAAGTATAGTGCTTTAAATAATATATAAATGCAATAGAACTAAATTAATGGTTAAAAAAAATTGGTCTACTATGTACTGTACAAGTTCTCAAAGACTATGTGAGTAGAAAGGATCCAGGTAGCACAGTTATCTTGACATAAAATGAAATACACAGGTTTAGAAGCATAGCCAAATGACTCAATAGTGTACGTACTGTACTGCACACTTTCTGGACCATAGTGATCTGAAACACATTAAGTTCACTTCAAAAGCCAAGAAAACAGGTCCTTTTTTTTTTTTTTTTTTTTTTTTACATTTAAAATTTTCTAAGACTTTTATCAAGAGGTAATAGAGAAAACAGTGTATCAAAGAATACCCTCACAGATTAATAGCTGCTTGTTTAATGTTACCACCAAGGCCAGCTGGCAGCAAGCATCACCAAGCGGAAGTGATATAACATTGCTCGAGTCAACACCAACAAAAACATTAGTGAAAAATATAAAGAAAAAGTCTCAAAAGTCCCAATAAATTCACCCAGTAAAATATTGAAAATACACAATAATATAAATACCGTACCCACTCTGACTGCATCAAGAGCCATAGTTGACTGAACACTTTAAGAACTGACAATACAGTACACTGACAACAAAGGCCTGATGAAACACACAACAATATCTAAACTTAAGAAAAAAAAAAGTATAATACTGTACATTACTCCATTTCTAATTGGTAATAACTTCAACAGAAAGACATTTTAACTCAATAAGTCAATTATGAATCAGTATTACCTTCGTCTCTGAGATTACGATACCTTCCAGATCCTGTATAAAACCCTTATTTTATTTCCAAATTATGCGAGATTTATTAACACATGTACTGTGAATGTAATCCAATGTAAATTTTGAATATAAGTACAGTAAATTGTCATGTTAACAATTTCTCTATGTTAACACAGTTCATTGTTTTTCTCAAACACACACACAAGGACTCAAAACCACTCCCACCTGAGCTGTTATATTCTCTTAAGATTCTTGCCCCATTATTATACATATTAAGGGGATATTTACTGTACTGTACTTGCATTTACAGTATTGTCTCCCTACCTCTGAATTACCTGAGTACACTTTCCTATTTATCAAGATAGTCAATTACTGTACTACTGTACACAATGTTTCAATTACATCCTGTACTGTACATATAAATATTCTAAAAGCTCCTTACTATAAAGCTAAAAACATATCTGATACATGCAATTAAAAGTAATGTAATTTAATGTTTTTCCTCCACTTAGAGTTTTTAAAATAATAATTCTGTTTATATCACAATAGACCGTTTTGCTTGTTATTCATGATTCCATCCTCGGTAAATATGTTGATATGTAGACAGCACAAAGTGTCTCAGAAAAATTTATACACACTGCCTCACAGATTTTTGTGGTGATTGTATGAATGTTTGTATTACAACAGCACCAGTCTTCACACATTAACAAGTGAAGATGATGTTGCTGCTTGTAATGCATGTATTTATGTCATCTCCGCAAAAATTTGTAAGGTAGTGTGTATATATTTTTCTGAGACATCCTACATGTGATTTACATTATCCTCCACAACAGGTCAGTCAGTAGCCATGGAGGCAAAACAAATCCCTGGATTATATAAATAATTTTTTTTCCCCAATTATTATTGTCTACTTAAATTACTAGTTTTGCCTTACACCTAGAGATGTTCGAGCTAATACAACACTCACCTTCTGGGCAGACCATTAAGCTAACAACAATGATGAGTATTACTCCCAGTGATTTGTTGCCTTTCTAACTTTTATTTTCAAAACTCAAATTATGAAAGAATATGGTTCCTCTAGTGCAAAAACTTCCATTTTCCCCCTTTTTCCAAAACCTATTTCACATACACAAGTACATCATATCTTTCAGTGTACACAAGTACTGTATGTCATACTGTACTGTATCATCTTTCTAAGAAGACTACAGTACTTTATGAGACAGTGATCAAGTTATTTTTAAGAAGGGAAGAATAAGTTCAATAATATCAATAAAAATAGTAAACACATTAGATAAAGTTTCCTTTCTTACAGCTTTTCCACATGCAGTACTGTAACTCTTCATAATGAGTAGCCGTATGAATAAACTGACCATCAATGTGAAAGACAAAGGAAACATTCTTTTGCTAAAAATTCCTTCACATCACTTAGAAGTGTGGACCAGGAGAGTTAAGTGAAGACTCGGCTAACAGTAACAAACTGTATACTGTACAGTATTGTATATATAAGATGAAAACTTGTATACAGTACAGTACAGTACAGTACTGTAGCACTGCAATGGTATGATACACTGCCTTTAAAACAACAATGATAACCAGTCACTGAGTAGTCAACTGCATTTACAGAAAGATGGCTTTGATAAATATTTATAAAACAACTCAGTCTTCACTTAATGCAATATAGAAATTCCTTTAGCAAACTAATCAAATTGCCACTTAAGAAAAAACATGAAGGTCAAGAGATAATGCATTTTCAGTCTAAAAAAAATCGAAATGCTTTACATGACATCTTCAGGCAAATACTACATATCAGTAGCCCTTATCTAAGAACATCAGCTGGATTTATACATTTATTGACCTTCTATATCATCTGACCTATGCAGAATCTTCCTCCAACACTTCACTTAGAAATATGGTTAAGGATTTAAAATATAAACTTTTTCCTCTTTAAAACAGAAGCACACAGGAAATAATAGCACAAGGACAGCTTTTAACCCTTAACTGGTGGCTAAAGATTCCTTACTCTGCCCCCCAATGTGCAAAAATTGAATGCAAGGAACATGAAACATCCACTGGTAATGGCTGCCGTCCCTACAGCTAACTGCCACTGTCCATGGCCGCCATTTAAGGGTTAATACACATTTCAGCATGAAGGTCAGTGGAAACGATGGTAACAGAGCATAAATTATACCGGTAGGCACAAATCACTGGTGCTCTTTGCATGACTTTGAGTGCTGTATTAAATGATGAGATTCAGAGCAAGACTAACTACCAAAAGGATGTAAATGCCCCATGACTTAACACACAGAGATTATCAGCAAGTAATATTATCTGTAGACACATTACTGTACTGTACATGGACTACAACAAGGAGTGGAGACTGACAACAGAACACCAACACGTTAATATAAATGCATCTTCATTTACGTAACTGTTGGTATTCATCTATCAGCTATTAAGCAGGATTACTAGGAAGTTCACATTAAGTATTCAAGATCTCATTTAAATTAATCAGAAAATTAATTAAAAGGGATTATTTATAAGACTCTCAATACCCCCAACAATAATTCACTTCAAATTTGTAAACACTCATCTTTCCTACAGGTCAAATGTATACAGTACTGGAACCCAAAAGAATTCAAAGCAAAGGGAAACATTCTTATAACTGAACAATACATCAGACCTTCTACTGCACTACACCCTTTCCTACAGTCTTAATATGGTGGTACAGTACATCAGTCTCTTTCTCTCTCTCTTTTTTTTTTCTCTCCTCTTTCTCACTTCTATCTCTATTTTTCTCATCTCTTCTCTTTTACACTTCTATGTCACCCTTTTACTCTTCTATCTCTCCCTTGTTCTCTTACCTCCCCTTCTCTTCTCATCACATCAAGACAAAACACCTAACCTTATCAGCAATACTTGGGGAAAAAATAACCAAAAGAATCAATAAGTTGACTTAGATACCACACACTTGAAACACACGTCCCTTGCATATAACCCTTCAAGTTAATTTCACCTCTTTTTAATGGAGTCTGTGCCTAGAACTCTAATAGTAACACTAAATAAAGTGAGGTAGATATTTAATTTTTTTTTTAGATGCAGGTTTAGCCATGTGTTAAAATTGGGGACTACGGTATAGTGGATCTAACCAGTGACAGACCGTACACTGAGAATATAAACGAGACCTTTTGTAATGTTAGCTGTCATGAATCACCTGAAGATAAGCCCCCCTCCTGCTAGAAGATAGTCTTAAGGTGGTTAAGCTGGGGGGGAGGGAGGAATTACTTCCCCTACCGAGATACAGACCAAAACCTACCTGAAGCAGAGGCCAAGAAAAATGCTGATAAGATTCAATGCCTTACATACTCGTACATCCCCCACAGGCAATGACAGCTACACATGGTGAAAAATTCCTTGACAAGATTTCCCAATCACCCAAATAAACCAGATGTCAGTTACTTGCCTTACCAGTACCTATTTTCAATCTCGGATCCTTCAATGAACTGACAAAGTTAAGAGAGGAATAAATCAATTAAGATGTTTCTATGTTGATGACAAGTGACTCTCACATCATACTGTTATTCTTATCCAGTTTATATACGGTATATGGCCGAGGTTAAATGTTTACTGTACCTTGACAACTTATAACACCAATGAATAAATATCCTCTTTGCCATCCATATTTTGTTGCAATAGTATACAGTGCTTTCATTCCCTATATCTAGTGTATACACAAACACACAAAGGATGAAGGTGGTAGGAGAAGACAATACTGTACCAACTTAGAGGTCATGGAAAATCATCTCAAATTTTCCATGAACGATCCTGATTGTCTTCTCCGAGGTGTGGGGTCTCCTATACACATCCACCCAGAGATGCTACTGTACCCTCTATATACTGTACCAAAATATTTTTACCATGAGATACGTACGGTAATTAAGTCTTGCACTGTGTTTACACAAAGCATTATTACATTCTGATCAATTGAACACTTGTAATTTCACTAGTTAATTTTATGCTTTATTGTCTGCCAAGAAGTTGAGGAGAAAGTACTGTTGTGTGTCAAGACATATAGGGACTACTGAAGTGAATTACGCAAGTAAACGTGGTTAAAAATAATGTTCACATCATGAACACTTAAGTATTCAATATAAAATGCCAATTGTCAAGTTCCTTCTATAGATCTATAATAAACATTTAGATTATATCCTGCAATTATAATTAGAGATTCTATTAAATATCATAACTTATAATGATCATATAAGCATCAACACATCAAAAATGTCTAGTTCCTCTGCTTCCAGTCTTTCAAACAGTTCATTCCTTCAGTCACCTGTTGAAATATTTATGTAGGTATAAATTTTGTCAAGGCACCAAAAACTATTTAACTGTGCAATACTTGATTGCCAGTTCTTTATTGTAGTGACCTGGAAAAGTCAAACTCTATTGCAAAGCAATAACATGGTTTAGTAATTTCAGACTCGCATGAGCATCCATGCAGTCTGAATCTTGAACTGGCATATGAGATCAGCTTTAAGGAAAAGCACATTTACAGTATAGTACTGTACTTCTGTTTATAATGAGGAAGACAAGCAGTTAATAGCATTCAACTTTTATCTCAAATATACTTTCTCTGTGTACCAAACAACCTCACATAACAAGTAAAACACTGCTATGGAATATATCCCCATAAAAATTTAACACATCTTTAGCAGAGGGTAATTCTGAGATTATATTGAAATAGTTTGAATATCAAATACACAAAGAACACCACTTCCAAATTATGCATCGTGTTGTTCCGAGGACAGAATCTAACATCCCTGCACAGTTACTCTTACTATAAATGCCTTTCAAAGTGTGACCACCAACTGATCACCACTTCATACTTCTCAATCTTCCTACCAGAGGACAGAAACAAGAAAGCCTTCCGGTCACTCTTACTAGAAACTACATTCATGGAAGGCTCTTATGATGCTGGGTGTCCGCTGGTCAAAGCCCAGGACAAGGAGGAAATTTTCTGTCTGTTGAGGATGCACATGTTTTGTTCCAAGTCCACACAACACAAGTCTGAGGAGGACAATAATTAAAACCATATAAGATGTGTAACACTAAGGTTCAGGACACACAGTAATATCTTCTATATACTTCACTAATTTACTTACATACAGTATAACTATCTCAAGCCATTTACCTACTATGCATTCACCTCTCTCTCTCTCTCTCTCTAACACATACTGTACACTTGCATTCTAACCACCCTGGAGGGAAGGCATGATTTTTGGAGTTCTGGTGTAGCTGCCTGGGGGATCAAAATGTCAACCCTCTTCACCTCCTTCCCCTCCATACAAAGTGAATTTTAATTAAAAATTCAATGGAAAAAAGTGTTAAAGTGGATACGATTAAGTGCCCAGTGGTAAAATAAGTTACTGGGCTAACACTTCACACCCATGTCTGAACTGCGGACCCACCAACACTACTACATGGGAACATTCATGGGTTGTCTTCACCCTACAGCTAAACACCATGTGATAATGGATCCCTGGACAACAGTGTCATGGTGCTACTATAAACCTCTATCAAAAGGCACTCACTACACTGGTCCTCTCATCTCCCTCTGTTCTTCATTTTGTCTTCAGCTACCAGTGTGAGGACAGAGCTGCTACTTCAATCTTGGAACATTCCCGCCCACTTGCATGCGTGTGACACCACAGCTGCATTAAGCCTACAAGACCCACCACTTTGCTGTAGTTTTGTCCTTTGTTTTTAATGCCTTATTTTTGTTAAATGACCCACTCCCCCAATGTAATCTGTATCATATCTGTTCATTGTGTACTTTCAGCCTTTGGCAGCTATTTTCTCTCAATACACCATTAATTATAATTATTATTAACACACACACACACACACACATAGTCTCTCTCTTTAATTGTTGCTACTCACTCACCAGTTTTGTATATCCATTCTCTAATTTGCTACCAGTTTTAAATTTAAATGTTCTAATATTGTATTGTTTATCCCCTGACCATTGTCAATACACTTACATAATGTGATAGTGTACAGTAAGAACTCACAACTAGAAACCTATGTTCCGGTATAGTACCTTGCATGCTCTACAATATACTGTACAGGTCTCTGAGAAATGGTAGCTGTAACAACATGTGAATTTACTATTTACCTGATATGTGTGCTGTTAGCATCATTGAGCTGTTGTAAGGATTGAGTGGCAGAATAAATGACATGCTGCTCAAATTTGTGGGTCAGCACCACTACAGTATCTGCTTCATTCTCCTTGGCCCACTTCAGAGCTTCCCCTACGTTCACCTCACCAATCACCGTCTGAAAGTATTATAGCATTATGGATCAATGACCACAATGGGTAATGTACTGAAACAAGAAATTAATGCCCATCACATTAAACTACAATATATTACTAACATTGAACAAATAGACTGTGTTCACTTGGCACCACTAAAAGAACAAGAGATGGTACAACTATAGTGAAGTAATGAGATGCAAGATTTTAAATATGATGAAAGGAGGACGTACTTATGACACACACACACACACACAAAGTACCACGGGATCTTAAATTACTTCCCTCACATTAATAACCTTTCAACATACCATTAACCATGACATACATAATTACACATGTTAACAGGCTTGGGTTATCATGGCAAACTAAGTGAATCTCCTCAGAATACAGAAGGAACATGTCTCCCTTACCCCATGCTTTTCTGCTCATTTGTACATTTTTTTCACAAGTTTTTATACAGACATGATCATCATCAATGTTTTATGGCCATGATGATGATAATGATATTGATAATGATGATGACAATGACTTATGATACCTAAAACACATATCATAACATTACCTAATTAAATCAGAAGAATAAAATAATCCCGACTGACCTCCTTAAACTTGTTAATTAGTTGGAGGAGAGTCATTCCCTCAGTGACTTGAATTTCTGTTAAGGTGTTCTCTGAGAAGGCCAGGGTGGTCGCTGCTGGGTTGGTTCCTCCCGAGGTCAAGGCCAATATCGTCACGGCGGCTCCCTCATGACCTGTCACCTGTGTTGTATGGTTGGGATTGCGTATTATATTTATGTTTTATTTTTTGGTATATATTCTTGTGACTTAACAATGGTTGAAACTGTGATCATACCATTACTAAAACAGTTATAGCGTATACCCATGAAAGTATTTTAAAATGCACACATAACATACAGACATGCTCATACACACAAACACAGACATATACATATACACACACACAACTCACCTCTCCTTTCCCTTCAGGATTGCCAGTCCAGACATGACTAGTACTCATGGAGCCTCGCACGTCAACACAGATACCAAGTTTACGTGACGTCTTTTCAACACTCTGGGACAAGAAACAAGAAGAGATTATTTAAAATCATTCAGTTTTTAGTTATATACAATACAGTACAATGATGAAATAATGACAACAATAACAGTATTTTTATTGTACTCTTTAAAACATCTTCCCATTATAAAGCAGAGTTGCAAGGTGACATATATTGAGAATGTATTGTGTTAATGTGATAATAAATGAGAAACAATTTAGTTCATCCAAAGAAAACTGTTGGTGGTAGAGTTGTAACGTGTTTATCTCTCACCAATGTGTCCTGGGTTCAATCCCTAACCTGGGATAGCTGTGAGAAGGGTCTTATCCATGGCAGGTTTTCACTGGGTTCCCTCCTGTACTAACACTGGACAATAAAAGTCATAACAAAGAACAGATCAACCACCCAAATGATAACAAACTGACAAGACGTGACATGATAATACTGTACTGGTCAGACTTTGAGTGAGGTGCTGTACAATAACACACACACCAGTACCTCTTACAAAACAATAATAAAATACAAACCTTAGCACTTGCAGTAATGAGAGTATGAAGAGCATCAACGACCTGAGGGTTGACTTTTGTGTTTTTCTTGGATGGGGTCCTCACAGGGGCTCTGGGGATCTTGCCTGCAACTCCTTTGCTTGGCTTCCTCTCAAAAATCTTGCCACCAGCGTCACCAACAAATCTAACAAAATAATTAATAATTCTCTAACGTATCAATGTACAGTTAACACCAACTACCCTGACCGGGCTAAAATGACAATATTGTCCTAAAAGAAGCTGATTTACTCTCTCTCTCTCTTTCTCTCTCTCAACACTAAAGACGTACATACCTTTAGTAGTACAAGGTAAATAATTCTTTCTTCCAGCACAAGCAACAATATAATGTAGCATTTCAGTGTAAATATGGATAATGGAGGTACAGTACAGTATTGCCAGCAGATTATAACAAGACTATGTTAAGTAGATGTATATATATATTATATTATTTACCTTGGACTTGAATATATACAAAATAATGAAACACACAGTTACTTTCAACACTTATCTCAACAGGGGTACTAAGGACCTGTTGGCTATCTGTAACTCTTAATCTATTTTAATGTATGATAAAAAACACTTCAATCATCCAATACCATTAATTTGTAAATACTGTAGTTTCATTTGTTCAATTTATTATTATTATTGTTATCATACATAAATATTCCATAATCTTTGTTGAGAGGAAACGGTGAGCTATGGTTCAGGCAGGACTGTGGAGTAAGGACTGACTATATACAGTATAGTACAAGTGATGAAGACTAACCTCGTTGGGTGTTCGTAGGAGTGCAGGGCCATGAGCACTTGGGTGGGAGTGACGCAGCCAGATGTGACGTCACTGTGGGTCAAGCGCTCCACCAGTTTAGAGGGGAGAGCGTGGCTACTCTCACTGGATGGGTTTAAGAGGTTGGCCTTACACATCCGGTTAACACTTGCTACTGTAGATTCTCCCTCAAGTTTGTCCAGCATATGAGACCATACCTGGGAATAATAACAACAATAATAATAATCAAGGGACTTGTAATAATAATAATATAGTACAATAATAGTGCTGTAATACCTACAGTAATAATATTAACAGCAATATAACAATAATACAATACTGTAATACTACTACGACTGCTACTAATACTAATAATAATAATACAATAATAATAATTCAGTACTGTAATAGTAATAATAATAATAATAAGACCATAAAAAATTTACCTATTGTTAACTATAGTACAGTACAGGAGTATAAGCAAATCTGTCATTACATTCACTACAATACTAACCTGTATCTATCTATGACAAAACATATCTTCAAGTACATTTACCACAATAAGAATATATAACAATGGTATTAAGAACTAGAAAACACTACTACCTCTTTCCTTGCTATGTTTATCAGGACAACTGTGATGCAAGAGATTCACAAACAAACATTAATTAATTACTGTAACCAATCAATATTATAACTTAACCTTAGTTGTAAATTTTATACAATATTTGGTTTATCTGAAGAGTCTACACCCTTGTTTACTTCACCTAATGATTAACCTCCCTTCAACTTAACCTAACCTCATCCCCTCTAAATAATGTCAGGGTGGTTAATTTTTAGGTGAAATAAGCTGGGATGGAGATTCTTCAGGTGATCCCAATAGGTACATGAACAGTCCCCATCACTAGTGTGTTTACAGGGGGTCGACAGGTGTTGTGCAGTGTGGCAGCGCTGTGTTTGTTTACATTCGACAGAAGAAAACTCGCAATAGTAAACATACCATGGAATCAAAGTAAAAAAATATATTAAGACAAATATCTCAATATAATGATCTGTGGAATGTTTATACGACGAGCCCCTGTAAACGCACTAGTGAAGGGGACTGTACTTGATCGATACAATGCTCCAGTCTCCTATGAACTGATATCACATTATAAACGGAATCTTTATAATCAATTACCTCTGGGGATTTAAGACTTTGTGACGGGACGTCGTCGAGGGTGAGGCCGCCGAACATCTCGTGTAACTTGTTCACTTTGTTGATGACCTGGTCCACATCCCATGACTTCTCCCCTTCCTGAGGAGCACAGTTAACCCTTTGAGGATGATGGTCTTAAAACAATTATGAAGATGATAGCTTAATCCCTCACCAAACCCCTTAAGAATGACGGTTTGAACCCCTCTAGAATGTTGGTTTAAACCCTTTATAATGTTGGTTTAAATCCCTTCAAAATTATGGTTTAAACCCCTTTAGAATGATGGTATAAGCCCCTTTAGAATATTGGTTTAAACCCTTTATAATGTTGGTTTAAATCCCTTCAAAATGATGGCTTAAACCCCTTTAGAATGATGGTTTAAACTCCTTTAGAATGATGGTTTAAACCCCTTTAGAATATTGGTTCAAATCCCTTCAGCCATGGTTTAAACTCCTTCAAAAAATTGGTTTAAACCCTTGGTCCTCAAAGATAAGATAAAGTTCAACATATCGTAAAAAAAAATTAAATCCCAAAATCCACAACAGCTCTTTGTTTAGAATACAAAATACACAGAACACCTTAAAAGTACAGGAAAGACATGTAAACAAAATTATCAGAAGTAATTTAATTTCAGATATTAGAGGAAAACAAGTAAGATGGAATTCAAAGTTCAGGAAAGTAAAAATCCCATCAAACATTTGAATATTAGATGTTTTAGTAATGATATATATATATGTGAGTGTACAGGCATATACTCCCAAACTTATGGTACATGTAAATAAATGAGATGAGGAAATATACAGTAATATAGAGTATACAGTAGTAGAGAATATACCTGAGGGTGTCCATCCTTGTCCAGTACTTGCATCAGCTCCAGCAGCTCACTTGTGTTGTCCTTGCCAGTGTACTCCTGGACAGTCTTCTCCAGACCCATGAATACATAGTGTAACACCACCTGCGTCCCTGGAATACAGTACATTAACTTAATTAAACAACAGGCACAGTACTTTTGGGTTTTCAAATTCATTGGTAGCTAAGGATCTCCCCTCCTCCCGTCCCACATGCACAGAAGTGGAACATGGGAAACATGAAGCTTCCACTGATGATGGTCATTGTCCCTACAGCTAACTTCCACTGATGATGGTCATTGTCCCTACAGCTAACTTTCACTGATGATGGTCATTGTCCCTACAGCTAACTTCCACTGATGATGGTCATTGTCCCTACAGCTAACTTTCACTGATGATGGTCATTGTCCCTACAGCTAACTTTCACTGATGATGGTCATTGTCCCTACAGCTAACTTCCACTGATGATGGCCATTGTCCCTACAGCTAACTTTCACTGATGATGACCACCGTCCCTACAGCTAACTTTCACTGATGATGACCACCGTCCCTACAGCTAACTTTCACTGATGATGACCACCGTCCCTACAGCTAACTTTCACTGATGATGACCACCGTCCCTACAGCTAACTTTCACTGATGATCAAGTTGAATACATTAACATCACCCCTTTCAACATTATTGTTATACATATACATTGTATAATTTATTACCTTTTCAAACATACTCTATATGAGGTGAATGATATGCTAAAAATAAGAGGGTTGGATATCCAGGAAGCAGCGTTGTGTGAGTGTTCAGGACAGACTTGAAGGTGATGGGTGATGCTAAGTTATGTGAAGCAACAAAGATAAATCAGATGCCATTAGACATTTGCTCCCATAGTTTTAACCACATCTTTCTCACATAACCTAACCACTCCTTTCCAACAATGGGGGCCTTAATGTTGACAAACGGATTTTTTAAAGATTTAGTCGTGAAGGACACCGCCCTACAGTGCCCGATGGGGAGGGGTGGCAGTAAAATTAATTAATTCCAATACAATAAGTTAGTTTTACAGCCACACCCCCACATCGAGCTCTGTGGTACAGTTTCCTTCGCGATTAAATCTTTTAAAGCTCTGGTTATCAAAACAAAGCTCTACCCGTCAACAAAAAGGAGTGTTTAAAACCACAGGGGTTAGGGTCTCGATGACAAAAGGAAATACCACAGCAGAAGACATCTCTTATGAATGGATGACAAGGAATGTAGTCATTAAGCTTACCTAGCGGCAGTTCTTTAAGCTTCAAGTGTGCTAATCTGATGACATCACGGTGGGTCCACCCATACGCGCTGAAGTGTCGTGTGACCTCCAAGGCAAGGCGTCGAGGCTCCCAGCTCAGGTACCACTCGTTAACCGCACGACGCAGCCCACGACCCCAGCCTACAGTAAACAGTGGCTGATGAAAATAATCTGACAAGTGATAAGGTTATGTGAAGGCGGTGAATGATACAGTAAATGATGCAATAACATACATACGGATGTTTGTAACTATGGACAGAATGGGGTGGAGATGATGAGCATAAAGGAAACAGTTCACAAAGAGGAAATTACACCAGAATCTATGGAAGGTCACTGAGAGAAGTTAAGATAATAATACAGTACAAATAAAAAGCACAAAAATAATAATAATGCATACCTGTAATAGATGATAATGATAACTATAATAATAATAGAAAGAGTAAAAATAATAATAATTATGTAACACTATAATAATACAGGTAATAATAAGAACAAAATCAAATACCAGTACAGTAATAATTATATGTACGTAATGATAATGCAAGTACAGTAATAATAATAATAACTCAATAAAATAAGACAAATTCTACAATACAACACAGTACCGTACCTGAGTGTCCCGTTTGCTTTGAGATCATCTTAGATATTTGAATGAAGAGAAAGAAGAGGTGGGTGTTAGTACACAGCTCCCGCACTGACGAGTGAGCATCAGTCACCAGCTTCTTCTGGTCACTCTGTTTGGATACCACGGCTAAACACAACACCTGGAAATATCACACTTTATTATACTCTATTTATCTATGGAGAACAGTGATAAAATAACACATGGGAATATTAACCTATATTATACTCTACAAAGAAACTTCCTACATGCCCCAAGAGTCTTACCAGAGCTTCCTTGTCCACGTAGGGCAGCTGGTTATATGCCCGCAGTGTGTCCAATATCACCTCAGCTTTCCCCTCCTCCACCAACTTGGGAATAACAGAGGTGCAGTTGATGAGTGTGTCGCCTGGGTTAGAGGCTCTTAGTCTTGATTTGGAGTCGTCGTCAGGAGGCGGTGACTGGGGGGTGGAGTTTGACTTACTGTGGCGCTGTCGTTCGCTGCGTTGGAACCAGTCCACCAGGTGACGTACCAAGTGACCTACGACCGTTATAATAAACAAAATAAGTGTCGTCCCTCAGGTACATAATATGTTTGTACCTGTACTTGACTCAAAATTAGTCAATGTTCTATTGACTTACATATTATTAAGCACAGTCATTCAAACTATCTCTACTTGGGGTGATCGATGAATTCCAGAATGAACACTGTGACTCCTGTTATCTCTGTAGGGTTGTCAAAATCCTTCGTCCGTTGTGTCATTTTTTTTTCAACACAATTTTGCAGAGATACTTTTTAGAGTGGCTGTACATTCATTTTACAGGCTAAAGTGATTCAACATTTCTCATATAATACACTGTCTGTGATATAGGTTGATTATACAGTGCAGTATAATGCACTACAAAAGCCATACTTTATGACTTACTTCCATTCCAGGCCACACTGTCAGAGCCAGTCACCAACAACTGCTTCAGCTTGGCCAGTGAAGCATCAGTATCAGCTGCCATTGTGGCCAACTAGGTAAGTCTTCCTGTACTGTGCACCTTGAAATACCTCCTCCACTGGGCCCTGAGAAACAACCATATTATTACTATTAAACATTTTGGCAGCTCTTATATAACTTCTGTATGTTAAATAAATGTTCAGATACCATTTTAACTATAATTTTCATATACAGGAACTGTATTGTCAAAACCCCAGATTTTTTCATCATTATATGAGAATACTGTAGTTGGAAAGGCAGAATATTAACAATTGTAATGTATGATCTAACTAGCCATGTGATATTTAGGTGCAGTACCACAGTTTCTCAACAATGTTTTATGTTTTTTTTGAATTTTAATTCCTGTTCTTTGGTAAAATATATCAATTTATTTTGTTTGATTTTAGCAGATATAAACCATTAAATAATACCATGCTTAAGTATTCAGTACAGGATATAGGTCACTAGCCCATCCCTGCTAAAATCACACCCTGAAAATTACTTGAATAAGTATTGTATAAAAAAATAATAATACATTGTCAAAACTTTTTCTCTGCAAACATATTTTAATTCATAAAATTCAAAAAAACTTTTATAACAATAAGTTTTATGGAGATTGACTTATAAACATTTAGAATTTTTTAGTTATTTTAAATTACTCAGGAAAATAAGATCGTGTGTGTGTGTGTGAGCGCAAGTTTGAGTGTGTGTGAGTGTGTGAGTGAAGTGTGAGTGAGTGAGTGAAGTATGAGTGTGTGAGTGTGAATGAGTGAGTGAGTGAACGTCTGAAGGAGTACAAGTATTGAGAGTGACGACATCAACACTCCTGGCGGTGGGATAAAGAAAGCCAACACGTGGAATCTCCACCATTTAAACACTTCTTACCTACATCACCAATTCACGTCTGTTATAATACCACCACAATGACTTCATATATAAGAATAAAAAACAATTGGTGTTCGGTAATTATAAGGTAAGACATAACATTACGGGGCGTTCACTCAGTCCTTCCATACTCACACAAACACAACCTCTTTTAAGCAATATCTCCCGTTCTCTTATGATAATCTTAGATCTAGGAAGTTTTAACTACTGTACTCTCACCTACTAGGAAGAGTTTAATAATATCTTACACCTGACAATGGTAATTACCGTAAGAAAATCCTTCACTAGGACTTTGTTTTCTTTGATAGTCAGACAGACTCCATGACTCATTCTACCTGACACAACTTTACGCTATTATATGTCATTTATCTATAAGAATTTTACGGCTCCCTCTACTACTTTTCTTTCAAGTTCTTGGTACCATTAAACACTATTGACTTATAGAGTTAATTGAATTATATGTTAAAAAGTTAGGTTCTCAGTTGACATTTTGACAGCGTTTCCTTATGCGTTCGGCGGATCAATCCGGATTGCATATGACGTCATTGTTTACTTCACGATGCAAACAGTATATAATGAAATATTTCCATCTATATTTGAAATTTCACTTATACTATAATTTAAATAGCATTAAATATCATATAGTATGAGTAATCACCTTAAAAATCTATTTATCCTGAATGACCTTTGCTTACGTAACAGTTCTCAAAATACCTTAACGAAAACGGAAGAATGTATAATGCCCATGGGAATAATTCACTAATAATACCTAAATTTCAATACTTTTTGGACAATGTTTTGATAGAAGAAAAGCTAAAAGATAGTAAAATAGTACAGGCAGATATATCCACACAGAAACATAAAATTCAATAACATGTTAACACTAAGAATAGATAAGATATATGAGCAGTTAGTTATATATTCAGTAAAATTCTTATACAAGGTCACAGTGGATCAACGGGTAAATGGACAGCTCAGGTATACTAACAATCATAAATAATAAGTTGATTTGACCTAAAACAAAAATAGCAGAGAGAGACAAAGAGAAAGCGGATATCTTGTCACAGAGGTTGTTGCTGTTTGTATTTACAGTATATGCTAATAACTCAAGTCTAACTTCCTCCCAGTTTACACACTAGATAAAATTATTAAAAATTACACCAAATTTTTGTTCCTAGCTCAAGTTTATTCATGGCAGTGCCTGACTATATAATATCAGCATGTATATAAAGCAATTTTGAGGATATAAGTTGAAATGTGTTATTATTTTAGCAGATATAACCAGATACACGAATGATAATCAACCCTAAGAAATATAGTTATCGTGATGCTAGACAACCTTTAATGAACAAGAAAGAAGTATACGTAATATTATCAGGAGACAGACAGCAAGTGGTGATGTCTTACAAGGAATTTAATCGTGAATCACCTGGGGAAAAATGAGCCATGCGGGTTTGTACATGACGCCACTGACCTTCACCTTCTGAAAGTCTGATACACAGAATTATATTACTTCGCCTTTTGTGATTCTTTTTCTATGTATATTTGAATCACCTGAAGATTAACCCTCCTTACTTCACCTGATGATTAAACACCTTAACGCTACTTGGGAGGGGGGGGGGGGTTGAGGTGGGTTAACGTAAGGGTGTTTAATTATCAGATGAAATAAGCTTGGGTCATAATCTTCATGAGAAACCAATGAAGCTGTTCCATCTGCCTGCCTCTCATCTCACCTTGATGACTGCTCGGGACCGCTCTATAACTGTTCTCCGTCAAGCCAAGTGCGCCTACGGAGATAATTTGCGGAAGTGACTTTTCTTTGAACAAATCTCTCTCTCTCTGGTCCTAAGCCAAGACACCGATAAAAGACCTTTCTGCTCTCTCTCCTTCCCTGTGTCATTCTGGTCAACTTTCAACTGTTACTGAGACACTTTTTGCCTCCTTAATTTCCTCTAATTATATCTTGGTCGATTCCAGTTCTATCCTCCTTCAGCGCCTTCTACTGAATCTACGGTACATGTCACGTATACCTCCTCGAGTGTTAAGGGAGTATGCTATAATAGAGTATATTTTTAGTTAGCAATTCATCACTTATTAATTTACTAACCGTTCGGGTGGTTCGTCTGTTCTTTGTTACTTTGTTATGAGCTTTATTGTCCAGTGTTAGTACAGGAGGAACGGGAACCGGAGAAAACTTGCCGTGTTTGGGAGTAGAACACCCTTCTCATATCAGACCCGGACTGGGGACTAAACCCAGAACACAATACTGAGAGATACGGTCGTTACAGCACAATGAACACATTAATAAGACACCTGCTCAGCATTACAAGCAGATAAAAACAGTTTTAACCTATTCTATATACGTTCATGAGCTAGGTAAACACCGGGTAATGAGATTCATAACAAAGAACAAACGGCCAGTAATCTAATAAGAGGTGAAATTATAACTAAGATATAAGTTAAGCTGAGACAAAAACACCTCACTGCATGTTGTGGACGTGTGGACCAACTTGTCTGGGCAGGTGGTCACGCCTCCGAACGCGATGATCCTCAAGATGCCATGCACAACAAAACAGAGCTCTGAATGACCACCATCCAGAATAAAAACAAGAAGTGTAATATCAGAACCCCAATGGAAATACGCCTTTGATATATAATGGGGAGTTTTAAAGTAGGAAGTATAGATACGATATTTAGTTTAGAAGGAATGTAAAGTGAGAAAGTTTGGTAGCGTGGCCGGATAGTTACTTTCACTTATATTACGTTCTTAGGGGACATCTCTCAAACGCCATTACTCAATACAACTAGTTATTAATTCCTCAATGACACAGACACATTACTCGAACATTATATTTACGTTACAAGACACTGACTCTCGGACATCTACTGTACAGTACTCATTGCTACTGTATATGTGTTGTAATTCTCTGGTTGTAAGCTGTGGTCTGATAAACAATCATTACAGATAGCTGTTTAACTTCTATTGGCTGTATACTTTTACTGTCTATGTGTACATGTTGAGTCAATGTGTTCAGAATATACACACACACACACACACACGATTAAGCAGGTGTTTTATGGTGTAAATTGACGGGAATACATTAACGTCTTCAGTCTGTCTAATGTTGTGAAGAAACTGAAGGCGAATATAATTGTAAACACTTGGGATCACATGAAGATTAGACACCCAAGACTTATTTTACCTGAATATTAATCATCCTAATGTTACCTGGGGGGGAGGGGGGGGTAGGATAAGTTAGATTATTATAGAACATAAGAAAATAAGGAGTCTGCAATAGGCCGGTTGGTCTGTGCATGGCAGCTCCTGTCGAGAGTTACTACCACTCTCTATCATCCATGAATCTATCTAGCCTCCTTTTAAGACTTTCCAGCGTTCCCGCACTTACTACAAAGTTGCTAAGCTTGTTCCATTCGTCCACCACCCTATTTGTGAACCAGTTCCTTCCTATCTCCCTCCTAAACCTAAACTTATCCAACTTAAATCCGTTGCTACAAATTCTATCCTGCTCGGATATTATAAGAACTTTGTTTATATCACCTTTATTGATTCCTTTCACCCACTTAAATACTTCAATCATATCTCCCCGCACTCTTCGTCTTTCTAGGTAATGCAAGTTTACGTTACAGTGGTTAATCATCAGGTGAAATAAGCTGGAGTGGGGCTAATCTTCAGGTGAAATAAGCTGGAGTGGGGCTAATCTTCAGGTGAAATAAGCTGGAGTGGAACTAATCTTCAGGTGAAATAAGCTGGAGTGGGACTAATCTTCAGGTGAAATAAGCTGGAGTGGGACTAATCATCAGGTGAAATAAACTAGGGTGGGGCTAATCTTCAGGTGATCCGAAATCCATTCACACTATTACATGGCTGGTCAGAATATACAATAATAAAGGGAAACAAAGATCAAATAGGGAAGACATAGGGAGATTAGGAAAGACCAAGAGGTGGATGAGAGGGAAATAGAGTGAGGGGGAGGGAGGATGGGAGTGAGGCTTGGTGAGAGGGTCGGGAATTTTGGTGAGAGTGGCGAGGTCTGAAGCTGCCTGGATTGTCAAAAATGTGGATTTCTTCCGAATTACAAAACCGGGAAATAAATATCTAATAGTGGTGTTTATCTTCTCTGAATTACAAAAAAACGGCAATTAAATATCTAATTACGATTTTACCTTTTGCCATCTTCTTCCCCCATCCCAACCCCCCATCACTCCCTCCTTCCTTCCCTCCTACATATTAACTCCTCTTCCCAGTACCACCCGTATGAATGTCGTCATTGGGAGGAGAGAAAACCACTCCTGTCACGTTGTTTTGACTTTAATAGACTCTGATGTAGCCTCGTTGGATGGCAGACGAACAGGAAATATTTACCTATATATTATTGGATCGTATTAGATTGTTTAATGGGATTTATTCTTTCCATAATTCGATTCTATGATTGACATTGCGCTAATAACGTAACCATATTTCATTGTATTTCAGTATTCAAATTCTTATAGTTACTTACGGTGAAATTTCCTCGTATATAAAGTTGACAGGAGTGAGGCATGACTCCCACTCAGCCATACTTGAAGTTTAGATAATGAAACTTTTCTTTGTTTGTGGTTGAAACTTCCTTTACGATAGCCTATACAGTTTAGTGTTGTGTACAATTACGTGTGGAAGTTTGCATGTCTCAATTTTGGTTTGTGTTTTATGCTTTGATTGATAGATAGATAGATAGACAGTAAAATCGTCGTACAAGTTCACATTGGTTCAGAATATACCAAGACAGTGCAGGTATACAATGGTAAACAGTAAGACAATTAAACCAACAAGAATATCCTACCATCAGTAAGAGCACGGCGTTAATAATATAGTTTATATCTTATTTTGACGTGTGCTGTGTGCTACTGGGTGTTGCTGGGTGTTACTGAATGGTGGGAGGTGATGGTTGTGAAACAGAGAGAGAAAAGCCTTTGAGGTGTATTATTATATTAGCATGGCGGCAAAACACACAACAGTACACCAATGTCACTAGGAATGAATCTCTCTTTAATTATCCCTCTCTCTCCATTTATCTATCACAATAATTGAGATAGGAGATTTTTACCAACAACTTAACATCAATGATTCCTATAAATAATATTCCAAGGACCTCACACTCCAGCTCAACGTGAAGGTATATTTAACTCATTTTACTATAGAATTGAAGACATTTCCTTTATATATTAGAGTTATATTAAAGATATATTGCAAGTTACGAAGGTTTAATATTATCTTAAGTGTTTAGTTTGCTGGCCGAAAGGTTGTGGGAAAAAAATCTGTTGGTGGTCCCGTGGTCATTGTTTTGAGTTCATGACTCACCCGCGCTTT